CCTTACTATATCTACTGGAGAGGATATACAGTCGCAAAGAGAGGCAGACACGCAACTACAAGAGGAAACGCGACGGAGTAGTGGTCGCAAAGTGAGGTCTGAGACGACTCATCGTCGGTGTGGCGTATGCGGGAATACAGGCCACAACGCGAGAACATGTCAATTTATTGAGGAAACATCCGAAGAACAGGAATCCGAGTAGTATTAATCAATCTAAGATTTCTTGTTATAGATTTCGATATTATTGTCGCGAAGGTCTGGTTTACTGTCTCACTCGCTTGTCTGTCTCACTCGCTTATCATGTACGTTAAGCTATTTACGTAAGTTAAAAATACTTTAATATTTATTAATAATTATTTCTAAATTATTTTAGAACTTAAACGCCAACGCCAGAGGGAATCCCGTGAGCAACTAGATAATGAACGTGTTGAAAGGCTTTTATCAACCCGACTCTTTACGTCTAGTCCCTCAAGGGGTACTAATTCAAGAAGTCCATCCTCAATTCCGAATCGATCCCGAAGTCTTTTAGAAGCGATTCGGAATCGATCCCCTCGTCTTTCCCATGCTTCATCTTCTGGGGTTATTAGGTCAAATACTCTCCAAAGAACATCTATTTCTAACTTAAGAAACGAAATCAGACAGGGATAATAAGATAACTTTGACTTATAGAAGCAAAGTCTAGAATTAGAAGAAAAGCGATTAGAATTAGAAGTAAGAAAACTTCTAGTTGAAAAACAGAAGCTTGAATTACAAGAAAAGGAACTAGAGTTAGCAGAGCGGCGGAGAAGGTTAGGACTTTGATAGCATATAGGATAGGTAGAGAATCGATTCTAAATTATTTCTATATTGATTTAGAAATGCTTTTTTTAAAAAAAAGCTTAAAAACTAAACGCTTTAAGTATTATAAGAATTAATTTTAAAACGGTTTTAAATCGGTTTTAAAAAAAGTCTTAAACTAATTCTAAACCGATCTTAAATAATTTAAGCCTTATCTTCTTTATTATCTTTAAAGTAAGCCTAGACTTTATTCTTAATTACGAAAGGTAAGAAGATATTCTAAATCGATTCGTAATTAGTTCTAAACTATTTTAAGACTAATTCTAAACTTACTAGTATTATAAATAATAGTATAGTAAGTATACTTACTTTAGTAAGGAAGCTAGCAACGCGATATATTTTAGTAAAGTTAATTTATTATAAATTAATTTAGAATAGGTTTTAAAAAGATTTTAGATCGATTAAGATTACTTACTATAGTTTAGTTACCTTGCTTATACGTAAGCATAGTAAGAAGGGGGGAAGGGTTTACGCTTTTTATTTCTTAAAAAGAGTTATAGCTTGCTATTATTATAAGCGTTAATAGCAATATTATAAATATAGTTATAAAATTCTATTTATAATTAGTTTAGAATTAGTTTAGAATCGGTATAGAATTAGTTTAGAATTACTTATTAGCTATATTATTATTCTCCTTAATAAAGTTCGTACTAGACTTATAGCTTTTAACCTTAGCTAAGACCTTATTAAGCTTATACTTCTTAATATAGTTCTTAAGGTTCGACTTATTTAAAAACCGTTTTATCTAATCGATTTAAAATTAGTTTTAAACTAATTTAGAACTAATTCTAAATTACCTTAGTATACGTAATACTACTAGATTTACTACCTTAATAATAGTAGAGTTTACTAAGGGTAAGCTTAACTTTGCTAGCCTAAATCGATTTAAAATTATTTCTAAATTATTATAAAATCGCTTCTAAATTACTTACCTTATTAAACTTAAAGGAAAGAAGATCTTCTATATAGTAGTTCTTACCGCTTTAGAAAAGACCTTCTTTATAAGTCTTATAATATCCTAATTCTAAATTAGTTTTAAATCAATCTTAAACCGATTTTATTATACTTATAAAATCCTTATATAAAGGCATAATGTCGGATTTCTAAACTAATTCGGAAGTAATTAGGATCGGTACGTACTTAGGGGGGGGGGGGGGGGGGTATATACGATTTGAAAGGGTTACGGAGGGAAAAGGAAGAGAATTAGAATAGTGTTCGAATATTCGTAGGCGCACATTCAGGGGTCAATCGTGATGTGTATTGTGCTTCTTCTTTTCCTAAGACCTGTCCGTATCCCTTACGCGCCTTCTTCCGGCGTGTTCCCTGTGACTAAGCGCACCTAGCGCGGTCCTCGGCCAAACATTCCTCCTAGCGCCTTCCTGGCATCCTAGGCGCTCTGCGTGTGCATCGCTTCCAGCGCCCCTGGCCTACCACCCTTTTTGACACACCCCTTTAGCCTTCGCGGCTCGAGACCTCGGTCCTAGGGCGCTCCTGCGCGCTTCATACGCAGCAGCGGAGGCTACCCTTAGGGGTGGCAGGCCAACCGACTTCTTCCTTATTCCTCTCCTCCTTCAAAGATCCCTCCGCTCCATGCGGTCTCTGCGAGAGGGTCCCTCTCTTCGCGTAGTGGTTCCGTCTCCTTCTTCACCAAGTTGAGCTGTTTTATGAAGTCTTCAAACGGTTGCCTTGCGAGGCTCTTCGTGAGTCCGTCCGCAACAAGGTCTTTCGTTGGTGTATGGACGACGTTGATGGTGCCGTTCTCAACCTCCTGTCTCAACCAGTGGTTGTGTATATCAACGTGACGAAGCCTCGTCTTTAGAGTCACGAGTTCCTCAGTTACTATTCGAATCGTCTAGAGGTTGTCGCACTGGATCGTTATTCCGCCGCTTGGAATCGTCGTATTAAGAGCACTTAACAGACGGCTAACGAATATAGCTTCGCGTGCTGCTTGTGAGAGGGCGAGAAGCTCTGCTTCTGTCGTTGATGTTGTGACTGTGTCTTGTTTGTTCGCTCTCCATCCGATCAATCCTCCAGCAAGCCGTAGTGCGTACGCCTGAGAGCTCTTTCGATCTAGCGAGTTATCTGCGAAGCTGGCGTCTGATGCGACTTCGAAACTCTTGTTGTTGCCATCGTACTCGAGACTAAGGAAGCAGGTGTCCAAGATGTACTGCAATACTCGATCTGCAGCGCGATGATGCTTCTGAGAGGGATTCTGGTTAAACCTCGCCAGACGGCTTGCAGCAAAGGCGATATCGGGGCGCGTCATCACCGCCAAGTATAGGATCGATCCAATCTTTCGTTGGTATGCCGTTATTTCGCTCTTTGAGGCGTGCTCCTCGGCGGGCAGTAGCTCCTCGTTCGTCATAGGTGTCGTAAATCGAGTGTTCTTCCTCTGTGATCCTTTATGTGTGCCTTGACCAATCAACCGTGCGATCTTCTGTGCGTATGCTGCCTGAGATAGCCAGATTTTCTTCTTGGCTCGGTCGCGCGTGACCTCGATTCCTAGAAACCAGTGAAGAGGGTCTCCGCCTTCCAGGTGGTACTTCTCTTTGAGCCCGTTAATGAGGCGCTCAGCAGCGTTTCTATACTCAGGGGGAAACGCGAGAACACAGTCGTCGACATAGAAGAAGAAGAGCACGCGTCCCTTCCGCCAGCAGCAATTCTCGCCTGCGACGCGTTCCATCCCCATTGCTTTCAGACCGTTCTCTAGATGCCGTTGCCACAGTAGAGGGGACCTGCGAAGGCCGTATAGAGCCTTCTTCAGCCGCAGGACCTTCCCCTGCTGCTCATGGCCCGGTGGAAACTCCATATATACTGTCTCGTCGATCGGAGCGTGGACAAAGGCATTAACTGCGTCGTACTGCAGTAAGGTAAGATCTTGCTGGGCCGCGGTGGCAATAAGGGTTCGGAACGATTGTCCAGCGAGGGTCGCAGCGTATGTATCCTTGAAAGCGTTTTTAGCCTGTTGATCTCCTCGAACAACGATCCTTGCCTTGAGTTTCTGGAGTGCTCCCTTCTCGTCCGTTTTATAGACGTATACCCACCGGCAACCCAGAATCTGGTGCCCGGCGGCTTCTCTACGGTCCACGACGACGTATGTATCCATCTCATCGTGGCTCGCGAGGTGCTTCTCTTCCGCTTCTCGGAATCCCCTCTCGTAGGGGTAGCCGTATAGATCGGCATGTTTCTGAGGCACTGGGGGTAGTACGCCTGCTTGGCTTTTTCGCTAGGGCAGAGGACGGTCCTCTCCCGGAACGCTAGAGGCCACGGTCTCAACCGCGGGCCCCCCGTCACCTGACACGGGCCTACCGTTGTGGGAGCTTAGCCCAGAGGGAAGGTCTTCCTTTACCCTCGAATCAACGTGGTTTCTTCCCTGACGGAGGTCGAAGGCACGCTCACACCCAGGGTTTCTAAGACTCCTCCTGGGCCCAGGGGCAGGGTTCATACCATTACCACGTCCGGCTACGGTAAGACCTTCGAGTCTGTTGTTCCAATATACTACCGCTTCCAGGCTGGTATCGGCGTTCTTCGCCTTTTGCTTCATCTTCACTCGTTTTCTACCCGTTCTGGTGCCGCCGAGGAAAGCGGCTTGCCAGGAGGTACGCGGAGTGGTAATTGGAAACTCTTCGTGGATCGATTCGCGTGCATGAACCGCCTCAGGAGCGATCGAAGCACGTCTCTTCCTCCACCCCTTTACTCCGAGTGCCTCCTCAAGGCCTGCGAAGAACGAGGTGGGTGGCGTCCGCGGTGGTGTATTGAGTTCGAATCGTGACTCCACGTACTTAGGCGACGGCGGTGCGGTGTATTCTTGTGCCTCTTCGTCTTCAATGTACTGGACTTCATCGACTTCTTCGTCTGCGGTGTATGCGTACTCTGGAGATGTTATCCCTGTGGGCGAGACCTCTAGTCGCGCGAGAAGAGCGTTAAGCTCGTTCACGTCGAGGTCTTTGAGGTCATCCTGCAGCTTGTTGATATCTCTATTAAAGAACTCGGTTTCCCTGAACACAACGTCTCGCGTTGTGATAACGCGGGCAGTAAGCGGATTCTACACGCGGTAGGAGTTGCTAGTACTGTACCCAATGAGGTAGCCTATCCATCCTCTCGGTTGAAGCTTTCTCGACTTATTCCTGCCTAGCTGTGCGTCTGTTGTGAGCGCATACACTTTGCAGCCGTACGCTCGAAGGTGGGCTTGATGAGGCTTCCCGAGATCTGGGCCGCGAAACTGATTATGGAACCGTTCGAAGGGCGTTTTCCAGCCGCGCGCCGCTGACGGCGTCCTATTGTATAAATACGTCGCGGCGGCAACGATTTCGGGCCACAGCATCTCAGGGAACTTGCCTGCCTCGCGAAGGGTCCTAGCCTTCTCCTTGATAACTGCTGCGATTCGCTCGGCGCCTCCGTTCTGGGCCTGCGTATTGGGCGCAGAGGGTTCGAGGACCACCCCTTGAGATTGAAGGTGAGTGGCGACTTGCTGATGAATCGTTGCAACCTCGCGGTCACATTCGAAGACTTTGACCTGTATATTATATTGCGTCTTCATCATGGCCATGAAGAGATCGAATACCTCGAGGAGCGTCTCTGTTGTACGGTCCTTAAGGTAGTAGTCCCACGAGTATCCTGTTAGTCGGTCAGAGAGTATTACCGTAGACATATAGCCTCCGTATCCTTGAGGGCTAATCGAGTGAAAGTCGAACGCTACTCTTGATCCTGGTTTTGCCCACGCTATAGACTCGCGTGGGGCACGTCGAACAATTCGTCTTGTCTTCCCTTTTCCACACGCTGAGCAGTCAGGCAGCTTGTTGCGTAGGTCACCCATGATCTTCACGCCTCGAGAGGCGTTGACGAGGTGCTCCAGCACCCCCTCGCCCGGGTGACCCAGTCTCTGGTGCCATCTGAACGGTCTTCCTGCGAGTCTTTTGCGCGGTGTAAACGATGTGTGGCGCTGCTTCGCCTGCGTGACGAATCCTGCTTTGGTATTGTCCTCGATAACCTGTTGTCCATGGAGATCGTGAAGGTAGCAGACGAGTGTCCTATCCGCTCTTCGTACGCAATTCTGGCCTGGGCGGTTATCCCACCACATCCCTCGTTGCCGTAGAAGGCGGTAGGAGACTAGATTCGTTGCGAATTCTTCGCAGTAAGCGACGTTGTATAAGCGGAGTCTTACCTTCTTCCCCCGCTCAGCGTCAGCCGTTATATCCACGTTTCCATACCCTAGGATTGGGACTTGTGAGGCTCCTGCCCATAGGTAATCCCCTGGTTCAGCTGCTCTGAAACCTGAGAATCGAGCCCGGTTGTTGAACACGTGTAGCGATGATCCTGAGTCGTATATCGCAGAGTTGTGTAAGGGGTACTCAGTCCGGATCATGAACGCAGAACGGTCACTCGTATACTGCTTCCTCCACGATGCGTTGGCTGACCCCATACACCGACCATACAGTCAGGTCTGCTTCGCTTCCTTCTCGCGTTGTTCACGGATCTTCTTCACGCGGTCCGCGAGGTCGTCATCGGCCTTGAGACGCTCGGTGACCTTCTTCATGATGTCGTTGCTGGGCCTCCATCCTTCATACGCTTCCTCTGGGAAGCAGTAGAAGCAGTTGGCAAGTAGGTGTCGTGGCAGATCACATCCGTGACACGTTGGCATCTCGTTTTGGGTCCGCGAATCGGCGGCCCTATGTCGCTTCTTGGTTGTACTCCGAGGCATGGTCTCCTTGGGTCCTTCTCTTGTTGTGGCAAAGGCACCTCTTGAGGCTCTTGGTCCTGTCGATAGGGTATCTGCGTGGATTCGTATATATCGTCGTACTTCCGCAGAGATCTCGCTGATCGAGGGGTTGTCCGACTCGTGGAACTTCGCCTCGAACATGGCGTGGAACGCAGAAATAGCGGTCTTCGCAATGACCTTTAGGAAGTCCTCGCTCCACTCGCTGAAGTCCCTTGTCTGGGCAAGGTTGACCTCTTGTCCCTTCAACATTGCGGCCTCCCATTGCTCGAGCCAGTTCTCGATCTCGGCCTTCGTGGTTATCCGCTTTGTAGCCGCTTGCTTGACGGTCTTCTCGTACTCCTCACGTGCGGCGCTCTTTTGTTCATTGTTCGAGATCGAGGCCACGCCCTTCAGCTTGACCATCCAGGCTTGGAGGGTCTCCGTAGGTTTACAGCACGCATTGACGTACTTCTCGGCTGCTGTCGATAGGACCCAGTTGCGGAGCTCTCGTAGAGCAGCTGCTTCACGCTCGTAGATACGGATATCATGGTTATAGTCGCTCCGGAGCTGTACATACTCCTCACTGTCCTCCTTGACAAGGTCTTGGAGGCGTCTAGCCGTCTCGTTCGATCGAACTTCTTCGATATCTGGTGTCTGTGACACCTCGATGATTGATCCGCGGGTATGTCGCGGTATACCTTTCTTCTTGTAGTCGGAGAAGGCCGGAGGCTCCGGCTTCGGCATCCGCTTCTCGGGGTTTTCGGCGCCGGGATCCACTTGCTCCCAGACGTCCAAGTCGGTGGCTTTACCCTGGAAAACCTTATACCAGGTTGGCCATTGACTGGGGTTGTTGAGGACAATGGATTCCATCTTTGCTTATGTCGTTATTGATTCGGGCTTATCGCGTGGGTTTTGAGGGACGTAAACGGGGTGTTCGTGTGTTTTGCAGTTGATCGGATCTTCGAATAGCTTCGTTTTGCCTGTAGGTAGGCCAATTGGTAGGTAATCAGACTGTTAATTGTTCGAATATTCGTAGGCGCACATTCAGGGGTCAATCGTGATGTGTATTGTGCTTCTTCTTTTCCTAAGACCTGTCCGTATCCCTTACGCGCCTTCTTCCGGCGTGTTCCCTGTGACTAAGCGCACCTAGCGCGGTCCTCGGCCAAACATTCCTCCTAGCGCCTTCCTGGCATCCTAGGCGCTCTGCGTGTGCATCGCTTCCAGCGCCCCTGGCCTACCACCCTTTTTGACATAATTAGTAACTAGTCTGTATACCTAACCGATTAAAAATTCCATAGTTAGGTAGACCTACTTTACCTTAATACAGCTAATCATAAAATTAGTCAGATAGACCCATAATTCATTTAAATAAGTGGGTAATTGGTCAGGTTATCCCCCCCCCCCAATGGTCGCCTTGACCACACCCTCGCAACTTTCACCTTTTTACATTTCTCCCTTGCCGTCAGTCAATTGAGTTCTCCGTCTCGGTACTCCCCCACGCTCATTTCGATGACTCTATGTGCATTTTCCGTTACGATTAATTACGCGACGCCTTTGACTGACCGTGTTGCGACGCGACCAATCTTGTCCAAAAGAGCATCCAAATAGAAATCATCCCATCTTACGACGTCGCCTTTCGAATACTGCGCGCGATCGCAAACCTCCATCATGGACGAAGACTTGCACAACAATGCTGAGGTGGTCGAGGAGACTACTACAGAACAAGCTGCCGATGTTGACATGGCCGGCGCCACAGAGACAGAACAAAATACCGAGGCTCAGGAGCTTCCCTTCGCCGAGGGCGGCGAGAGCGAACCTGTCGAACCGCGCAACACCTTCGTCAGCTACCTCGCCAGTCCCATTGTCTCCTTGTTAGTCGGACAGAACGACACGGAGGCCATTCTCACAGCCCACCAGGCCCTCCTCGTCCAGAGCCCTTACTTCAAGGAGGCGTGCGCACAGTTCAGCGACGACGGCAGTGTGCGTATCACTACCCGTGATGTCCTAACAATCCGCTAATCATGTCCCACGACAGCCGCGCCAAGTCGAACTCGTTGGCGAGGAACTAGATGCCGTCGGCTGCTTCCTCGAATACCTGTACACCGGCGAATACTTCCCCCGCAAGATCGCCGGCACGCGCACCCTCGAGGCCGACCCTGCTACGCCGGACGTTGACTCGGACGGCACACAGTTGCTGAAGCATGCGCGGGTGTATACTCTGGCGGAGAAGTTCGGCATGCCGGGCCTGCGCTCGCTCGCCAGCTCCAAGATTCACTGCGTCAATTCGACGGCCAAGGGAGAGATTGCCTATGCCCGCTACGTATACGCGTACACCAGCAAGGAGGACAGCACGATCCGCGCGCCCGTCGCGAGCTTCTGGGCCACACGATCCCACACACTCCGTGCCGAGGCCGAGGAGGAATTCCGTTCTCTATGCTTGGAGTACCCTCAATTCGGATACGATGTGCTTAGTATGTTGCCTTTCATCTTCGCTGTTGGGTAAGATGCTAACCTTTTTAACAGCCCGTGTTCTTGACGAGAAACTCAAGAGGGAGAAAAACGATAAGCTACAGCCGTCGTCTACTACTGGAAGCGCTCGTAAGCGTGCGCGGCACAGCCAGATCTGAAGAGTAACATAGGGGAGAGCGAGAAGTGCAATTCTTGGCGTTGGAGCGTCCTCTTCGCGGCACCGGTCTGGTTCAAGGACCTGGGTTTTTCATGGGGCATTACTGACAGAGGTTGATGTCCATTGCATCTTGTCGGGTATTGAGCGTTTGGGTATGGGCATGCACACTTTTTATGCATCAGTCTGTCGAGCTGTCTCGAATTTACGACCGACTACAGCTCGCTTCACAGTTTGATTTTCTACAAGCGCCGTGACTGGCCAGCCGGCGCGTTTCGGTACCAAAGAATACAGCCAGTACCAAACCATTAACGCGTCGCATAGCGTCAGCAATCTACTCCATGAGAAAACGCATCCATTTGCTCGGCCGTTGCTAGCTGTCTGTTCATCAACTGTTCAACGCGTATAATCAGCTACCAAAGACCCCATAAATACCCCTGATTCCCGTGTTTACCGAAGCTCTTTGGGGGATTTGTTGGAGAAGCTCGGTGAGAACCCCAAACTTGAGTGTGGAGATGGACGGCAGGGGACCCCTTGGCATCCTTGGCAAACTTTGGATGAACCAAACCGCGGATAGATTCTCCGCCCAGTCGGAGGACGATGCTCCATTGATCTATCTGATGCGCGACGGATGAGGGGACAGATGGTTGAAGTGGATGGGAGATTCAAAAGAGGGTATATGAAGCTGCCGGCCCCCCAGGGACGTGACGTGACGTTCTGCACTACTTTTTGGTTTATCCTGTCATATTCCTCGGCGCCTGTAATAGTGCGATACCAAGATGGCCGGCTTCATTACCAAGATTGTCGGCCTCTCAGCATACACCGGCCTGGTCGCTGTAACACTACCATATCTCCAACAACTAGACTTCACGTCTCCCTCCCTCCTAAGAGATGTCGTCCCCTTCTTCCAACCATCACCGCAGCCCTCGACGTCCCCTAAAGAAGAAACACCCATCACCCAAGAACCAGTGGAAGAACCTTTCACGTGTCTCCCCCAAAACTACACAACTCAGATCGTCTCGCTCGACCCCCTAGTAATCTACATCCACGACTTCCTCAACGAAAGAGACATCGCAGGGCTCCTCTCAGCAGGCGAACCAGCCTTCCGGCCCTCCTTTGTGACGAAAAACGGCCGCACACAGGGGTCTCCCGACAGAACGTCCTCCTCGGCGGGACTACCCCTCGACGCGCCGGCAGTGCAATGCGTCCTCGCGCGCGCGGAAAAGTTCATGGGCACGATGCTGGCGCCGGGCAGAGACGAAATCGGCCCGCCGCAGCTGGTGCGGTACACCGCGGGCCAGCGGTTCAACCTCCACCACGACTGGTACGACGATTTCCAGCCCGATATGACGCTGCATCGGCGGCGGCGGTGGAACCGCGTCGCGAGCTTCTTTGCGATCCTGGAGGACGAGTGTACGCGGGGGGAGACGTATTTCCCAAAGATCGAGGCCGTGACGCCGCAGGAGTTGGCGGGCGAACGGCTTTGGAGACGACACGAGGAGGGCGGCCTGGCGTTTAAGCCTGTCAGGGGGAATGCGGTGTTTTGGGTTAATTTACATGCGAACGGGACTGGTGACGAGAGGGTTGTGCATGCTGGATTGCCGTTGGGCGAGGGGTTGAAGACGGCGATGAATATTTGGCCAAAGAGGTATATTGGTCCTGAGGCATGGGGGGTGGTGGAGGAGGAGGAGGAGGAGCTTGTGGTTGATGATGCGGAAGTTGGTCCGGTTTGAGGGTTGGATGTGATGGAGGTGGCATAGTTGGGACGTTTGAAGGCATGGCTATACTTTGATGAGCTGTTGAATGTAAAGGATATTTGAGTTTATCATATCATTTATGATTATGACTCTTAGTACGCTGTTGGCAGTCGACTCGTTCTGGAGTCATTGGTGAGGGCTTTCACGTCGTGGCTTTGTGACACAAGCTACGAAGCTCTGAGAAATAATAGGTATTGAGCAGGCTCTTCTGTCATATTCACTCCCGATGTAGGTTACTCAAAGAAAGTAGAAAATTGAGGGCCTTGGTGAAGAATCGGAAACTTCTCAAAGCGTCTTGCAGTCTCATTTGACCTTCATTGGACTTCTCACTCAGCAGTAGCACTCCCCTCTTCATAATTCTCGCTCTTTCCCCATCTGCCCTTACCCTTGAAAAAAAGGTTTTACTATTCCCGGGTCCTTCTTTCCCAAATTGAACGTACCTTCTTTCCCTAACACACTCTGCCACTGCGCGTCAACCTTGGTAAATTTCTTACTGCTCACACCTCAAACCTTCTTCTAAATTCATCATCACCCACGGGAGCCCGGTTTGGTATCGAGGTAATAAACACCATCCCCTCAAACTCAAGTATTTCTTTCCTCTCTTTCCCTCATCAAGACTAATCTCTCTTCCTTCAGGGGAACATTTATAAGCTTACCTTTTGCATTCCTTGTCCTCAGATTGCAGGTATCTTGTGTATGACAATCCCTTTCACGAACTCTTCTAACTCCCCACCAAAATACCTAGGACAAGATACTACAGCAGCTTCTTCGTGTCACGTTCTCATCAGCAATACGTCTGCTAGTATGCAACCGGCGGATATCTCCCGGCCTGCTGGGATCGGAAACAAGATGAAACAGCATGCCGTTGCCATTCCAGAGAAGATTTCATTCATTGAGGAGCGAATTGGTAGCGGAAATACGCTCGTTCGTATACTGAAGGACGCTGACAGTTTTGCCACTGTGCGGCTACTCCGCAGAGGCTGTCGTCGGTATCGATTCGACAAAGACCTTGGACCAGACTCATATTATGCCGGAATCGACGGGGGCATATTCTCTCCTTGCTATATCCGTTACCCAAATCGCAGAAGGCACCTGGATATGGGCAATCACTATGGTGGTATTCTTTTTGGCATAGGCAACACTAACAAAGCTGGTGGACTTATCATTCCACCTATTGACGTGCTTCGATCTCAACAACTGTCATTCCTTAAATATCAGTGTCTAGAAAATGACACTGAACAGTCAAACACCGACGAATTTCGGCCTGTATCTGAAGAGGATAGAAATGAGTTCCTGTTGCAGCAGAACTCCAATTTCAAGCATGGTCGCGCTTGCCATGTCCTGATTGAAAACCAAAATCTGACCATCGATTATCTTTCTTTGGAGCAAACTTCGCCAAACAGCTGGACAGGCTTCCGCATGATGATGCCCAAGCTGGCAGGAAAGATTGTGCCAAAAGGCCTTATAGATGAGATATCTTGCTTTCTCGCAATGTATCCTCGGGACATCCTCCCCCCAACCTTTGCTCTGGCTATGTGCATTGTATGGTGTCGCATACGCTCGGACCCAGATTGTCAACCTGAATTGGCTGTCAAAAAGGTTCGAATTGTCGACGGAGACATCAAACGCCCAGTTCCCTACACTGATCTTGCAGTTTTTCTTCTCTATTCCGCCCACTTTTTCCGCTTTCACGAGGAACACAAACTGGCGGCGTACGGTCACATTTTCAGATACGCCGACTTGATGTACAAGAAAGACATCAGCCATGACAAGGCATTTAACATTGTTTCCAGCCAAATCTGCGAGGAAAAAATTATCAAACACGTTAATATGATGAATCTTGCCGACAAGGACTGGTTGGAGATTGTTCCACCCTCGTGGGAGGGTTCGACGCTTACTATGCCAGCCAACAGTGGCCCCAGAGCCCCTAGGTCCAAGGAGACCACGGTCTCACTTATGATGCCAGACATTTACACTCTGGGCTTCCCGAATTATCAGAACCAACTCAAGAAGGATTATGGAGATGTACTGCAAGAAATAAGAGTCCATAAACTCTGGGTTCCGAAATATGTTCTCGACAAAAGCGGTGTACCCTCAGATGAACAACAGAGTCGCTTTTCCCCTAAAGAACTACGGCGATATCACAAAGGCAACATAAATCAGCTTTGGACCGTGCCAGTCACAGAAGTGCGACTTCCATGGCCGTTTCCTGCTGTAGACGACCAAGTCATCGATGCACCGCATTCACGAGTCGTAAAGTGTTCAGTGCTGCCCGACAACCGCCGCCTCCGCCTAAATGAGCTGTCTCAGCAACAGTTGAGTGGCATGGTTGAGCCCAAGGTTGAGGGTTTCATGCGAAAATTAATTACGCAAATGCGCATTGCTCGAGAGAAAGGCATTATCCCATGTGACCTGAAATTTGGAGACCGCGGTCTAACTTGGGATGGTATGCCCGAAAACATCAGTTACGACGACAAATTGCATCCCGAAATCGATATTAACCAGATGGTAGCAGACGATGCACATGCTAACTTGCTCAGCGTTCAGCAACAGTTAATTCTTCTGAATCTCCTGAAGGAGGATATGGCAGATGACAAGAACATAGCAGAATGCCTCCGACCACTAAAAGAGTTGATGATTGCCAAGGGCAAACATTTGACCAAGTCACTAGCTATGGAGCTTATGAGAGTCCACAGCAAGTTGATGAGAGATGAGGTGGACAAGATCAAGGCTTTCGGACAGGGATCCGATAAAGGACACGGCACGTTTACTGACCAGGTCCTCAAGCCTTGCTGCCTGCTTTTGGGAATTGTGTTTCCTGAAACTCCTGATGCGGCTATGAAAGCAATCGGGCGTCTGGACGAAGAGCTCGATAAGGCCATTGCAACCGCCAAGTTTCTTCACTCCGAAGGTTGTCAGGACGCTAGAATAATGCAGGCTGCCAGTCAGAAGCTGCTCGATTCCCAGAGTCTTTTATACGCTTCTCGATTCATCTTGTTCCTTGAGAGGCTGTCTGGGGTTGAGCTCAGTGCGGCTGATGAGGAACGATGGACAAGATTGTTTGGACAGCCGTACCGAGCAAACTAAGACTTTCAGTCGCTTGCCAAGTGAGATGGTATATTATTATCTGTTGGATCAAGGTCTGAATTGGGAATCTCTCCTGTTTTGAACCAATTTGTTTCCTGAGTATCAGGTTGACTATCAGCTGCGAACTTTGCATCAGTCGAATTAAGCTTTCACGGCACAGAAGTCCCTCCAACGCAAGGGAACGGCTAAGCTAGCAAGGTCTCGTCAAACTTGGCTCCAAGCCAGCAAATCACGAACGACTTCACCCAAATTCACCTCTTATCGATCTACGGGATGGCGACTAACGGCTGCAAATATGGATTGCTTCTTCGCCCAAATCCTTGTCTTGCTGTATGAGGTTGAGACTGACACTGAAGGGCTAGGGCTAGAACAGCGTGGGTGGTAGATGGCGTGAAACGGAGGCAGGGATAGGTTGTGCCATTTGGCGTCTGGGACTTTGGTGGCGATTTGTGTATCAGAAAAGGGAAGGACAAGAGTTGTTGGCAAGCAAACTGGAACAGTTAATTGACCATTCAGTCCATCCCATTGCTGGCGTGACTTCCCAAAAGGAGAATGTAGCCTCGTCCGACAGAAAACATTGTCTCGTGCTCTGACCAGATCAGGCGAATCGTAACTGTATGCCAACTTGATGCGAGGCTAAAACGAGCACTCCTGTTCATAAGCGAGCGAATCCCATGCGCGGGGACAAGACTGCTGCCTACTACTCCGTACTTTAAATGAAGCGGTCACGCCGTTCGCATCATTGGTAGAAGGTTAACCGAGGTGGTTGCTATTCGTCCGCTGGCGAGAGGAGCGAAGTGGATAACGAATCCTTTCAGACCCTAGGCTGCACATTCTGTCAGCTTCCTAGCGGAAAATGGAAGCAGGCGGCTGAGGTTCAACTGATTCTCTTTGCTCATGGGTTAGCGGAGATGTAACCATACCTCTACCCCTGCCATTAGCGCATTCCCCCATTTTAGAGTCCTACACAACGGTCTTGGCTACATTTTCTCAAATTTCAATCTTGCATTAAGTAACTCAACATCTTGTCACTATTCTTTGGACAGAACGTTGGGAAGCCCTTCCCAGATGTCACAGCATTGCACATGCCTCTGATAATCGACAGAAAGCAAGGTGGACACAGCGAGGATCGATCTGGATTAGAATTCGTCCCTTTGTCAAAAAAAACACCTTATGAATCGAGCCAGAACATCATGAGTGCCGGGGAAGGGGAGGCGGCGCATGAATCAAAACTATTACGGCGTTCTTGGGAAAGTCTCGCTTTTGACTGTTTTCTGGCACTATTACCACCGGTTTTCCTAGGTATGACTCAAGCATTAATAATTATAGCGGCGAATAGCCTAACTGATGTACTTTATAGCCCTCTTAATTGCTGCGGCTTTACAGCATGAAAAACCGGAGTCCAACACTGGTGACCTAATCCAAGATGCGCTACTCCTTTCACCCACCATTTTCCCCATCATTTTTGCTGCTATATGTGGCAAGACGATGAAATCCATCGCTCTGTATAAGAGCCAGGACGGAATGTCTCTCCGTGTAAGTCTTCGGTCCCAGCCAACATTTCACAAATGGAAGGATGTGCATGTTACTTACACGCAAGATGGCAACAGCTTCTGGAGCATCTCTCGGGTGCAAGCTCTCTGTTTTCGGCACTGGAACGTGTCTATCTCTTGCGCAATTTTGGTGTCATTGGAATCATCACAACTTTTGTGTGGGCCCTATCACCATTAGGTGGCCAGGCGCTCAGTCCACGTTTGCTGTCCAAAGAAAACTTTTATTCGAATTCAACACGAAATGCGACTTACTTCGACCCTAATTTCTTGGGTACAACAAGGTTAGATTCGGCGTCTGGCGGTGCATCTGCCGTGGCTCACGTCACAGCGCTCTATCTTACTTCACTCTCATCGTCTGCTGAAGTACGAAGCTCACCAAGAGACGTTTGGGGGAATCCCAAAACGTCAATTCCTTATGCGTTGGCTGAAAAGTCCAACGCCTCAGAGTGGACGGATCTTACGATCTCCAATGCCACTTCCAGCTATACGAACTTGATTGGGGTTCCGGTGAAGGCTTTTGAGAACGGCGTGGCGTCCGAAATCATACTCCCGTCTATTAATTTGGAGATCAAGTGCTCGTCCTTACAGCTCACAGACACCGAATCTTTCAAAAGAAGTCTCAAGGAACCTCTATTGACAAGTTTTGCTGGAGGTGGGACATTTCCCAACGGTACTACTACCATTGAGTTTCACCGAGGTTTTTCTGGCAGCGGGGCTTCGACGACTTTCTTATACATGACCAACACATCATGGACTCGATTTGTGTCCGACATAACCCAACCTATAACGATTTTCTACGGATCTAGGACGTGGGAGACGAAGGCCAATGTAACAGGCAAGAGAGGGCTCTCAATTTCCCTGGCCGAGTGCACCATGGTGCCTCGAGGGCTTGAAACGAAATTGTCGTGCAACGGACAAGTCTGCCATGCCATCGCGGCTCGCCAGCAGCCGGCCGTCGTCACGAAAAACGTGACTTGGACAATCAATTCCATTATGAAACGCGGATATTTCTGTGGGATGGGCGCATCCGGCCGCGTAAACGAGGCGGGCCAGACTGAGCAGTTCATTTCTTCAGGTTCTGTTGGCGAGAGCAACTACGACCTTCTCAACCTTTGGGATATGCCGCTCGCGGATTTTGAAGAGCGATTCCAGCAAATGGTGAATACCTTTTGGTACGCCGCGGCTTCGCAAGTCTTTTCGACGGGTAACTTCTCGTCAAAGTCAAACCAGCAGTACGTCAGTCAAACACCCGCTGCAGTGACTGTCAACCTGGGTCCACATTATATATGCCATTGGGTCTGGTTCGGTTTGGCGGTTGCGATTGTGTTGTTGTTGGAAGGCCTTGCTGTCGCAAACGCGATTTTGCGCTTCCGAACCCGAGCCCCCGACATTTTTGGATATGTTAGCTCTTTAACAATAGGCAATAGGTATTGCGAGAGCAAAGGCTTAGGTCAAAGTTCTGCATTGTTTGGATTGGAGAGGGCGAGAGCACTGGGGCGTGTGCGGTTCCAACTAGCCGATATAAAGGGTGGCGAAGACGTCGGTAGGATTGCTTTCTTTCCTCGTCTCTCTGAGGAAGGTCTGAGGCAAGGGTATCAGGATGATTTTGTGGCGAGTAGGGTGAAGTTCAACCGTTACTATGATTAAAACTCAATACCTAAGCCCTTCTGAGACAAATTTGCCTATAACTTGAGTGTTTTGGCAACTAGAAACGTTCATGTCATAGAGTGACTCGTCTATATATATCAAGTTTCCTCAACTTACTCTTCAGATTTGATGAAATCGCTGCGGCACCTTTGAAGGGTATGATGTACTGTTGCCGCCCGTGTTTTCTTGTCTATTAACAACTTAAGTTACCCGTAGCCCCGGCGGATATTGTGGCATGAACCTTAACAGACGCAAGTCGAAACAAAAGGAATGCGGGAATAGATATAGTCGATCTAATAACAGTAAATTCCTTTAATTTACCTACGACTTGACGCGGACCGCAGATCATTATCTAGTTCAATAAGTTCCGCGCATTTTCCACGAAGCATTTCTGGAAGAAAACTTTGATACAGGCCTTCTTTTCGGTTGGTTGAGCGGCCTTTGAGAATATCACTCCATGCGCTGATAGGATAAAGAGAAGTGAATAGCAACGCCAATCTTTTATCATTACGTATGGTGGGTTTAGGAAATCTCTATATGCGAATTGTTGTCCTGAAGAAGTAGAGTGTACTGATGGTTCTTTTCTCGGTTGACTCTTCTTCTAGCACCAGCATAGTTTCTTAAATCCCAATAATCATTAGCAGATAGGCTTTTATCTTCCGCCCAATTCAAAGTAAACGTTCTACTCAGCTCTGGAAGCTATAGTTCTAATATACTCATAATCATCACATTATTCGACGTATTAATCATAGTAGTAGCAAAAGTATCTACTCTTCTCTTGGTACATTGAGAGACGTACAACTACATCCAGAAACAAACGAGTAACGTCCACAACTCTCCGTGGCATGTGATAGAAATCACCTGTGACATTTAATGTCGCACTAATTACAGCCTTAGCATACACGTCCCGAAAATGGACGAAGCTTGATCTTATTGTTGACAGCAGTTAGACACCCCGCCACGTTCGTCTGAGCGCTGGGTGTCACACCCACATCCTTAACCTTAAGACCCATGATGTTTACCTTTTCTCTACCTGCTTTTGACTCAGATTATATTGGTCGCCATCTATAGAACTGCAGCTAATCTCAGACACTCGATATTTGAGGGTGGAGACTCAGCCTGGTCCAGAACCTATCCCATCGCTTACCTGTGCCTTGCACTGGTAGCTCAAGGTGAAGTCCAGCTGTGTCACATGGAAACACTTTGGAGGAATTATCCGCATCAGCGGGTACTCCATATGTCGACTCTCATCATAACCACATCTTTAGAGCCCCTGGGATAAAGTGCGGCGAAGGTCGCCCATCCTGTGCGAAAGCCTTTTAATAGGCCGCAAGTGCCAACACTCTTCGTCGCTGCCCAAGGTACTTTACCTCCTTGACCAACTTGCACAAGTAGCGTTACCCTACAATGTCAACAACTACATACGTGCAGGACCGACGCGACCGCTGTTGAGGGTGAGCCATGGCCTTCTTATGATGAAATTACAGCCCCAGCCCTAGCAGGATTGGTAAATAATTACTTCTAAGCTAGCAGTGTTCCGCGAAGACCAGCTAGGGATCAGTAGCAAGACGTGATGTGCTTGCGTACTTGCCATAAGCTCGTTGTACACCGCTTGTAACAGAAGGTTCCATCCTGTACTATACCACGGCTCCAGAGGGGGACCTAGGACGGGGGATCTCGGTCGCAATGCGCTGTTACCACGAGGCAATTAGGCGGCTATGACAACGGCTGATAGAGACTTGATCCTGTTCGTCTGCGTCGATGGGTTGCGGAACAACTGCAAGGTTGCAGTTGAACAATCCAGACACAGGATTAACACCCTCAACAACGTTCAAAACGAGTCGTAGTTCCTCAAACGTCACGGTAAGCCTTCCATCACACACCTGATTTGCCCCGTTGCTGTCCTACTTGGTCTTCATGTGTCCGTTTCAAGTGCGGCTAGCAGAATGTAGGTTTGGAATACGCCATCATGGCCCAGATAAAGTCTTTGGGTCGAGGAGCTGGCAATTGTGCAAGGGTAGCGGATTATTCGATTGGAATACCAGATCCGGCTGTGGGGAATAGATGTCGGTGACATCGTCGAAAACCCATCAGACAATAGCCGTGAGATGTCTGCCCCATGGGAATCGAGCGAGCAGTGGAGTGACGATATGACGACGAGCGAAGGTTATGCGCTTGTGGTGAGGGAAGAGTGGCTGAAGATGAACCAATTGCCGCACAAGAGGTGATGGCTCGGTTCTCAGTAAAGAGAACTCTTTCTGGTGGTAAGAATTATCAGTCATCTTGTAGCAAGCTTCGATTAACCCATCCTGGTAATATTGCAGTACATTAGAATACTTCTGGGAAGCGATGGCGAAGTCTATGGTCGGAGTGTGTTCTCGGCGTGAACAATCTATCTTGATGGAGGGTGGTCATCAGTACCAGTCGATACCGTAATCCGTTCCAAGTTTCTCACCCGACGCTCTCGTCTCTTTGGAGTAGTTGGCAGGTATTCGGATCGCCTTGTTCATGATGTCTGTATCTCGGATGCACCCAGCGGCTGGTGCTATTTCGTTAACCTGGCGGTTGAGATAACATGTATCGATCATCAATCTCTCACACATACCGGACGTCCTCGTGTCTGTTCTTGGCGGGCGTTGCTACCAATTGGTGATGCTGTTAACTGTACCAACAACCCGGTGACATTGATGGACGAGGAGAAATAACAAATCGACCGGTTATCTTTCTCAGAAACCCTTCAGAAAATGAAGACGCATGACTTAAAGTTTTGAATTTGCAACCCTCGTCTTGGCTTAGTCTCTTTTGGCAATGATTGCAGCGAAGTTGCTTGGGTCACATTGAACGATTGCATGGGCTCGACAAGTAAGAGAAAAAAAATTTCAAATTGCGAGCTCGTGGCTAGCTCTCCTTGGAAAAGCTTGCACGGAACCTTGGATGCGAGGATTTATAGTTCGACACCTTAGGCTCTTAACGAGATATCTGGTCAATCAATTTTGCGGGGAGGGATGGCCGGTAAAGAGACATCCCTGCACAACGGTCTATGGGAGGGTCGCCTTCTAGCCTGACAAATCAGATTGTAGTATATCTGATGCAAAGCTGGCTCAATTGCATCTCCTTGAGCTCGATAAGTTTTCAAAGGAAGAAGACGCTGGCGTAGAAGTGTGATGGGTGGCAAATTGACACACGAACTTACAAAATGCGGATATGGTGTGTATGCATATCTGTGCTGGAGGGACGGATTCCCCGAACCTGTAGTGACGCATTCCACAGGAACATATTGTTAGACGCTGAATCAGGTTATGCATTATACACTATTGAGGATTTCTTATTTCAAAAGGGTTGAAAGGGTTGAACATGGCCTGGCCTTGACGTTACCTGCTTGGCAGGACGAAGGAGAAGTGTCGGCATTGTTCGAACGGGACTGATATCTGAATAGACCAGGACAGTATGTGGACAAATCGTCGTCCTAGAATGGTACCCTATCTCGCGGAGAGAGCCATTTTCTCATTCTTCTAATTGAGATCAGGTCAGTTGTCAGGGGCTCTTTCGACAGCATTATCTCCAGGAATAGTTTGTAATCCACCAGGTCTCCATCCGTCAGACGTCATATAGGTCTAGAGCGTGGTCTATGACGATTGCCTAACTTGCCTTACTCCGCGCCCAAGATACTCTAACCTATCACAATATGATACGTCTTTGTCGGCTTGGTGTTTGCTTGCAAGGGTTTTACGGAAACCGCATCTCGCGTTGTGAACTTGGGTGCTTAGAGAGACATGACTGATTTCGAGGAAGAGATTCGGCAACACTCCCATTCTTTTCAATTCTTTTCAGGTTTTCAATCCTGTCCGCGGGCAGATTTTCTTCTCCTGCGGACTTCGGATGCCGAACAGTGCTCTGCCAATATACCTGGGAACCAAATGTCGTGCTTGAAAAGCATTGGGGGGTATGATAAGCAATGTACTCGGATTTGTTTATCTAGGTGTCGCAGACCGCCTTAGGTTTGACAAGGGAACTGAAGAATGATCGGCATCGGAAGATACGGAAGGGAAAGGCGACGAAGGGACGGATAAGGCTAGAGAAGACTGCGAAGACTGCGAAGAAGTGGATGCTGGCTCACTGTGAGCAGACATCCTATCAGAAAACTGCCGTTACCGGTTTGAACGCGTTTGACTTACTGGATGGCTGCCGCGTCTTGGATACTTTCTTCCTCCAGTATGACTTCAGTTTCCAACTGGTCCGTCCAACTCAGGAGGCGGGAATAGATCTCCTCGACAAAATCATGTGATATATGCTGTACCAAAGCCGTGCTATCCGATTCATAATGCTTCTGGATGACGTTCTTGAGTGAAAGCCACATATCCCGCGAAGCACTGAACACATATGCGTAGCAAGCAGCTTTAGCTAACTCTGTGTCGTTCCTGGTGGGCTCCGGGACAAAGTCCCGAGGCCTCGGGAGCAGAGGCGGCACTTCAATCTGCAACGTTGGGCGCTGAAGGGATAGCAACCTGTTTCGCTCGGTGACAGTTAGCAAGTGCACATGGAACAATGGTAATGCAAACTCGCTGCCCGCGCCAGAGGTTACTAACGAAACCCAGTTAAAAACCCCCCAAGACGTATATGACGCAGCTCTAATCCAGTCATTATGATCCTCCAACCACGATCGGGCTGATTCCTCTTCGGTGCGGACGTTGAAGAGACCCATTAACCTCCCCAACGTTAGACTTTCCTGGGTTAGTTGAAAGCTTAGGTCGTGCTTGTTATATGCGGAGGCGGTCATGTTGAGTAGCTGTAAGGCAGCCATCGTTGTTAGCGTATTTGGAAGCGAAAGATCGGCAGCGTCTTTCTGAGCTTGGTCGAAGAGTGGGAGAGTCCAGTTTGAAGCATCGGCATCTAGAGGTGTGTAGGATTTCTGTTCCAGTTAGTTACGATGCGGGTAAAAAGGTACCTAGGTAGACAAGGGACAGAGTACAACATACAGATGCCCAGCACAACAATGCGTTGACAAGAAATGTCGAACAAAAGTATGGCTTAACTTCGATAAGGTCGTTAATGAACAGATTGGTGTCGAACAGAGGGAATACCGCATGATCTACTTCAAGATAATGACTGATACAGCGGGCGGCAAGATCGTTTGGAATCAGGACTGGCGTCCAGTGCGAAACTTCGATAGTCCGTAGACGATTGTCGAATAACGAGTCATATTCGATCGCTTCTCTAGAGGTATCAGGCGGCACTCCTACATCGGCATTGCTACTGTCTTCATGTGCAGGGCGGTCTGGACTCCTAGTCGAAGAGGTGTGGGATGGTGAACTGTACCTCGTCAGTTTTAACCTCCCAGCATGCCAACACCTCCCAATCTTCGTATATGTGCGGAGTAATTATGTACAAAAGTAATATTTGGAGAATATTTGGAGCGAGAGACTAAACGTCTTCCAATAAAGGCCAAGTCATACCCTTCTTGTCTTGGTGGCAGCAACTGAGGCGTAGTAGCAGCATTCAGAACAGCCGTTGGCGACATGCTTGGGAGCAACGAGGGCGATAATTCGGGATATGCTTGAGGATGTTGTAGTGCGAATTCGGACTCGAGGTTGCTCTGGCTTGGCGGCTGTGAATTCTGTGCCAAGGTTTGCTCTAATGGATTTGACGACGAGATCGGCGAGCTTTCAGATGTGTGTCGTATCTTTTTCAATAGCTCCAAAGCTTGGTCCTCGGGCAACGTTCGTATCGAGTCGAGCAGTTCTTTGTCCGTGGAGCTGCTGTGTGAAGCATTTTCTCCCTCGGTAACTGTTACAGTGTGTCTAATGCTATAGGTATACGCACAGCTGTCGCCCCTGTGCTCGCAGATGCGACACTTGGGGAGTCTTCCGTCGCACTAGGGTAATATGTCAGTATCGCAGGCTGCTGGACTATATCAATATTCTCGCATGGATTTCTCTGTACTTTTATCTTCCTTTTCCGACAGGGATCGCAAGCGCTGTTCGTCTTGCGCTGGCGTGAGGGCTGGCGGGCGCGAACTGGAGGCTGAACCACATCTTGTTTTGGGGGTTCATTGTCCCCATCAGTCATCGGACGTGGGCGGAGCGGTCGGAGTGGTGTCATCGCTGGAGGACACATCCATTCGAACGAGCCGTTGGGGTTCTCGCATTCATTGAGGAGGCTGTGGCGATGCTAGAGAGGCAATGTGGGAAGATGGTGCAGTGCTGAGGTACCTCATATTCGGTCGCCAAGTCCACCTCGCGACTGTTGCCCAACCATTCGAGCCGGAGCTGACGTCCGGTCTGTACTGTCTTGTGAGTGGCCCAGACTGCGGCCCTGGCGCCGATTGGCTGTGAGGCCACGATGTGGACATTTGATGAGGGGCAGGGGCCTGGGGCTGGACACCGTTGTTCTACTTAGCAACCTGGCAAGCCAAAATCACCTGTCAATCCATTTTAGTCGACAAGCTGAGACAATCCACACTTAGCGCTGCTATATCTTGGCACAATGTTGAAGTCTGGACCAAAAAAGAGAGAAGAAAGGCTTCCGTCTTCGTCTTGAAGGGCGATGGCAACGTACAGGAATACTCCTTATTACCGCTATTGATCCACCTCCTGGGCCTAAACCATATTATCTGTAACCTCGTAGAAGCTGCGTCATACATTTAGAAACAGTTCTCGTTTTGGCACATGTCCCAGTGGCCCATCGCGCCGGGCCTGAAGGCTTTGCGAGGCGGACATGTAAGACAGATGACGCTTACGAGTCTTCCCCGAAAGCTCGACGGGCTGTATCCCCAGGAAGACAACCAGGTAGTCACTATGGTTTGAAATAGATGCGAGGTGAGAAAATTCGTTTAATTGGTCCTTTCAAGCGTCGCAAAATAGGAGTTTCCCAATTCTTGCTGGCAGAGACCGAGTTTGCCAAGGTTCGCCCCGAACACGGGACCGGAGAGACCCGGACCCACCCCGGACGCAACCCGTGAAAGGAATAAAAATCGGCCCGGTTGGAAGCTCAAGGAGCAGGATAAGTGAAGAAGCGAAAATGAGCGACACCAAAGAGGACACGCCAGAATCTACCAATATTTACTGCTCTCTGGCTGATAGCTATCAAATCAAGGCTTTTTGGCATTACGGAAATTTGTTTAAAGCGATAAGAAAGCTAGCTAAACTAAATGTATTGACACGACTTGGCTCTTTTTTATCATGCTTGACAGTTGGGGGGCTCTGAATCGAAATAGTTGTCAATTAAGACTTAGGACACGATTATCCCATTTGGTGCTGTTGGGCTACAAATAAATAGCGTGCGGAATTATACCCAGTCGGGATCAGATAGTGCTAGTTACTTTCCAACCCAATACCTATTCACTATGGAGTTCGGAGAAATGTGGACCGCTTTGTGCCTCACGGGCTCACTGTAGCCCAACGGTACTTAAAAGGATACATCGCAGATGCAGAGTGGTTCACAGTAATTCCAAATTAATAACATCATAAACCAGTTCTAGCTAAGTTTGAAACTATGTTGAGAGGCAGGTTTTCATTAATACAGGCCTTTTGACACTGTACTTTAGATATTCTTTACCTTGAAGGCAAGAGACACTTGCCCAGTCTCAACTCCCATGGTATTCAACCGCTTCAGGTGATGGAAGGCTGCTAGTCTTTCTCGCATTTCAGTCGTTCCAACCTGTAACTGTTCCAGAATCTCCGCCACGACAGCGTAGAGGATTTCGAGGCTCCCATCCTCGATTTTCACAGCAATACCTACTGCCCCTTCAGCTCCGAGCTGATTAGTGTACTCTGATTCCCTGATGCCAACTCCATAACATCCGTCCGCGCCCACCTTTCCGATAAGAGCTCCTCCAAAAGTCTCCATTAGTACTGTACAAAAGCGGCCTTCGCCGCCGACCATCTCTGGATGCTTAGCCATCGCGTTGAATATACGCGCCATGTATGCCGTTCGATCAGAAGCGGATTCAAAGTCGCGTGCAGCCGTGTCAGCGGCTTCGGCAAAACCGGCGAAAATGCGTCCCATGGAAGACAAGGGCAGGCCAGGAGCTGGAAGGTTACAACCGTCGATGCCCCATTTAACTTCTTCCTCACTCAACCCGCTGAGATCCTCCACAACCTTCTTCACTTTCACCTGTATCGGGTGAGTGGATAGGTGGTAATCAGAAAAGCCAGCACCGAGCGCAAGCCCACCACCCAGCATGCCTGCGTGTTTTCCGGAGCAGTTGTTGTACACCCCGGTGGGTTCGAAGTCTGCTTTAATCCATGTGCGATTGACGTTTGGACAGATTGAAGGATGCCCACCACAACGGAGATCAGATTCGTTGGCTCCGACTTTGGCTAGCATTGACCTGGCTCTTGCGATGTGCCTCTCCTCGCTATTGTGTGAGGCGCACATCAGCCCTAGATCAGCCTCATCGAACTTGAAGCGATCGAAGCCCGGAGTTTCAAGGATAGCGAGGGCTTGCGCAGGCTTTGCGGCAGACCGGGCAAGTGTCATTCGAGCTGGATTGCCAACGGAGTAGAGTAGTTTGCCCTCTGCATCCACGACTGCAGCGTGGACACCATGTCTGTTCTCCACGATACCCCCTCGATCTGTGACCACAAAGTCCTCAACCTGTGTAGTCTTCGTCATAATGAAGAGCTGGGGCAGTTTTGAGAGTAAAGATAATTTAAACGTAGATTTGTGAAATGGAGGCCAGAAGATACGATAAGGGTCAATGCGACAGGATGACCGAGTCTTTCAATCCGAGTTGAATTATTCTCAATTGCTCAAGCAAGGCGCAGTTTCATGTACCGTTTCGAACTGTAATTGCCCGAGATGTTCTGCAATAGGATTCTAGAACTTGGCTGAGGCTAGAAAGAGTATATATCGTACTGACAGAGAACCGCGAATCCGGAAATGTGGGTGAGAAGACTGGAGACGGATCCATTTTCAACGAGGATTTATTTAGTGAAGGGCGTGGTCTGACGTGGGAGCACTGGCCAACGGGATTTGAGTCTGCATGACCAACCATTTAAAGCGTCACCAGCACCAATTGGAATAAGAATTCAAGAAGTGAATGCCGATGACTCTTCGGTGAAAGCTCTAATGCCGATCTATAAATATATGTATAAAAAAAAAAAAAAAAAAAAAACCAAAGATTAGCTCTTACACAGTAGGATTGGGAAACTCGACGTCTCTATACCTCCCCTCCATAGGGTTCCCCGGCAGCAACTACAAGTGGCCCAGAACTAACAATGTGTTTTCTAAATGAAGACTTGATTTGCCAATTCGTGTTCGACAACTTTATTAGCTAGGTGCATCATACAAACGTCAACAAAGAACTGGCGGCCATGGAAGTCAGTGCGCTGAATTATTTTCATAAAATGAATGAATTGATATCATTTCAGTGTATACAACAACTTGGTCAATCGTTGAGCACTTTGATGAACACGGTTCAGTTGTCTTTATGACGTTTTGCTGGATAACAAGCAAATTCCAGCAACAAGAGCAACAGGTTGAAAAGTGATGTGCCCTAACTCGGTTACTAGCATGGTTTTCGGGACATTGCCACACGGCGATTGTCGTAATTCCTGGTACTTGTTCGTAATTCCACCCTGGAACCATGGAGTTTTGATGTGGTAAATAGGTCTAATACTTATTAGACCGCATAACTCTAAACCACTAATCCCACTGAAAGGATTCCCAGATAGCGCGCTGAGATAGGCATGGTGCGCGCCCTCTAACTTCTGATCGGTTGAGATCTAACACCAAAACCCCGCAAGCGGGGCCGGCTTCGGACGGGGGGAAGTCCAGTCCTTAGTCATGAAAGGCGGGAACCCCTATTAATGAAGGGGAGGTATCGTGAAGTTTTGAATGTTTTTGTTTTTGTTTTTCTCTCTTGTGAGTTTCTTTACCGATTGAGTGGTGCAGTTGATCGCAGCGAGAGAAAAAAAATGTCTGTCGAACTACGTTCCGTGCCCGATGCGCGATCGGCGGCACCAAGCGACGATGAGGAGGGTAACAACTTGATCCAGGCTCTGCCGCCGACCGACCAGGGAGCCACGGCATGGAAATTTCTTTTCGCAAGCTTTATTATCGAAGCCGCTCTATGGGGTATGCGGAAATGTCTCTCTTCAACCCTCGTGGGGGGGATCTACTAACACCGGCAGGATTTCCCTTGACTTTTGGTGTCTTTCAGGACTACTATTCCTCCCATCCGCAATTCGAGGGCAACTCCAACATTGCAGTAATTGGTACCGTCTCGACTAGTATTTACTTCCTCGGCGCGCCGCTCGCTGCGCCGCTGGTCAGACGCTTCCACGCCTGGCAGAGGCATATGGTCATTGCTGGCTGGGCCCTTTGCGTCATCTCACTCGTGGGCGCTTCGTTCTGCGACTCCGTCCCGGGACTCATTGCCACGCAGGGAGTCCTGTATGGAACGGGTTTTCTGACGCTTTACTTCCCCGTTCTGCGCATGCTCAACGAGTGGTTCGTCGCGCGCCGCGGGTTTGCGTACGGCGTACTCTATGCCGGGGGCGGCTCCAGTGGTGTTGGCTTGCCTTTCTTGCTTCAATTGCTTCTGGAGAAGTACGGCTACCGCACGACCTTGAGAGCAGTTGCTGTCGCGCAGTTTGTGCTGGTCGCGCCAGTTCTGCCCATGCTCAAGGGCCGCCTGCCGCCCTCGAACCATGGTGCGCTGCGCATGTTTGACGTGAGCTTCTTCAAGCAGCCTCTCTTCTATTGCTTCGCAATCTCGAACCTGTTCCAGGGGTTCGCGTACTACATTCCGTCGCTGTACCTGCCTTCCTATGCCTCTGCCATCGGTTTGTCCGGAACGATGGGTGCTTTGCTCCTGGCAGCCCATAACCTGGCGACCGTCTTCGGCCAGCTTGGCTTCGGCTGGCTTTCGGACAGGACGAACAACGTGTTTATTCTAATGTTCGTATCGTCCTTTGTCTCGTCGATTGCAGCCTTTACCATTTGGGGTTTCGCGCATTCTCTCCCGATGTTGCTGGTGTTTTCTGTCATCTTCGGCATGTTTGCCGGCGGCTTCTTGGTGTTCTGGGCCAAGTTCGGCGCGATCTTGTCGGATGACCCCCAGCCTGTGTTCAGCATGATGGCGTTTGGCAAGGGTATTGGAAACCTGGCCACTGGCCCGATCACTGCGGGACTGCTTACCAGACCGGTTAGCTCTGGTTATGGCATGGGACGCTACGAATCGTTGATTCTGTTCCTCGGCTCTTTCATGCTTTGCTCTTCGTTGGGTATTCTCGGTTGGCCTCTTAAGAAAGTGACAACTCGTCACTAGAAAGCGAAACGACGAATTGATTCGGTCAGGGTTGCATGTAAAATAGAGCATCTATCAATTAAGCCCAAGGGCTTCAAAAGTATTTCATGGTTAGATTCATAGGTTTACTCATAGACAAAAAGTTAGGATAGACGAGACATTTAGTCTGATGATGATGGCATAAGCGTTCAATCAGCGCACGACTACATCTCAATTTGGGACTACTACTACGGAAAGTTGGATCGCAGGTCAGGAATGTTGAACATTAAAATTCTTCTATTGCGCTTCTAGGGTATATGAAAAGACATTATTAAGGCGCTTGATAAATGGTGCAGCAGCCAAAGCGATCATGAAAAAACTAATAAGTCACGCTTATTTAGGCACTTCAGGGGAAGAGCGGTGCTCGGAAGCAACCGACTCGCCCAACGGTCTCTTGAAAAAGACGTTTCTCTCCCAGCCGTCGATCTCGTCGACGACAACCTCGCGCACAAGCTCGTAGCCACCAATCCTGGGAAGAATCTTGGCCCAAACAACCCAGTAGAGACCACCGGCGACGATAATGGCAATACCGACAACGCAGTGAAGGTAGTACGGAAGGCTCTCGTAGACGTTCTGGCCCTCCTCAGGGGGAACGAAGGGGGCAATGACAAGGTAGACGTTGCTGAGCATGAAGAAGATGACGACGGGAAGACTGGCGCTGATGGGAGGGCTCCAGTTCCACTCCTTGCGGTTGAGGTAAAGGTAAGCCAGACCACCAGCGACGAAGACGTTGATGATGGCGAGGGGGTAGCTGATAAGGTTGAGGATGAAGTTGTAGGCATCACCTGCATCATGTTAGTCATCGCGCCGGCCTTTAAAACAGAAGGAGGTATTCTTACCAGGAGGAGGGGCGAGCATGGTGATTACGCAAATGAGCCAGTGCTCAAAGAGACCAGCAAGAGGGGCGTTGAAGGGCTTGTTGCTGGCGAAGAAGCGGGAGAAAGGCAGAATACCCTCACGACCGAGCTCCTGGACGAGACGACCCTGGGAGAAAATGACACTCAGGACATTGCCGTAGGCAGACAGGGCGACAAAGACGGACAGAGCGCGCTCAGCAGTTCCGCCCATAACATTGCGGAACAGAGAAGCGGCGACGAGGCGACCACCCTCAAGAATCTCGTCCCTGGGAACAGCGGCGAAGTAGGCGATGTTGACGAGCATGTAAAGGATGGAGATGGTGATGATACCGGCAGGGGCAGCGATCTTGAGGGTGCGAACGGGGTTCCTGGTCTCGCTGAGGGCGTAGTTGGCGTTGCTGTATCCAATGTAACTCCAGATGACGTTGTACAGAGCAGTGACGACACCGTAAGCGCTACCGGTAGTGCCCTCGAAGGCATTGCGGAAGTTGTGAGGCTTCTGGTCCTCGGGCAGCTTGACGTGGCCTCCGAGAGCAATGAAGCCGCAGAGAATGATGATTAAGATGATGATCAACTTGATGGAACCGAGGATGTTCTGCAGGCGCAGGCCCCACTTGAGCGCGAGACCGTGGATCAGGAAAGCGGAGGTAATGCAAGCCAGACCGATACCACGCTGGTTCCAGCGGTCAACCTCGACGTTGGCGGCGTGGAGGATGTACTCGCCGAAGACGACGGAGTTACCACTGGCCCAACCGAGGAGGATAACGTAGCCGGTGTACAGACCAGTAGTCAGGAACTTGGGGCGACGGAAGACGTATTCGAGGTAGTTCTTCTCACCACCGTTCTTGGGAATGGCGGTTCCCCATTCAAGGTAGACGGCGGTACCGGCGAGGGCGATGATCATACCGGCGACCCAGATGAAGAGGGACAGACCGACACTGCCGGAGAGTTTGAGAATGGAACCGGGGGTGGCGAAGATACCGGTACCGACGACACGGTTCACGATAAGGAAGATGGCAGTGGTAACACCAATCTGTCGCTTGGCTTCCCGTGCATGCTCGATGCGACCTACACACAAGAGAAGGTTAACATATGCGTCAATGACACGCAATGGTCGCATCTGGATGATGCGCTTCGAATGGCAATGACATACCAACTTCGCTGTCGTAAGTGGCGGCGGCAGGAAGAGAGCCATTCTTGGAGCCTTCGGCAGAGGCATCCGAAGAGCCGCCGTGGAGTTTGTCAAAGATTTTGGACATTTTGGCGGTCTTTACTAATGGATCTTGCTCAGAAATCTTTCTCAAGAGCCAAAGATCAGAGACCTAGGGACAGTCGAAGGTTGGGACTGGAGACAGAAAGCGGAAGACGATCCGGACAAGAGAGTCAGACTAGAAGGCTACCAGAAGATTTTATGTCTGGAGCTGGAGGGCCCCGCCAAGCGGATCACGTCTTTAAGACACCAAGTTGGCGCCATGTGGCGAGACATTTTGCCTGCTCGTGTGTGTGGTTTCTTGGGAGGGCGAGGCGCATCCATGTGCTTGGAGCCGAAAACTTCGATAGACCCAGGGGCCCATGGCCACCTTACAAGGATTATGGTTAGAGCAACGAGCTGGAGGCTCTAAAAAAGGCCCATAAAAAAGCTCCCGCCCGCGTTGTTCCGAAAGCATGCAAGATTCTCTAGAGCCTCTTGGGCCCCAAACTGACCCCAAGTAGCCCCTCCCAGTAACTTTACAGACCCCAATAACCCCGGCCGGTCTTGGGAACTGTCAGGGGATAGGCGTAAGGGTGTCTTGTCCCAGCGGCCTGGCAAGCAAAGCTCTGTGTCATAGTTTCTGTTTGTGGTCCACTAGACCGATGACGCGATCGGAGGTGAAGATGTCGAGTGGGAAAATTTTAGTCTTAGACCCAATTAAAACTGGGGGGCGTCTGGGACGAAACTGTGGTGGTGCTTTGTGTGAGCAACAACGGCTTTCCTCATGCAGCCGAAAAAAAAAAATCACCCACAATGATTTCTCAACTCGTTCTTGGTGTTGATCAACAGTGAGAAAACGTGGTGAGACACTGCTCTCGGCTGATGATGATGACGTTCCTTTCGGCCCTGCAATGCCCACCCCCAAGACACGTTCACATGTGTTATAGGCTACGACATTTCGAATGGTTCCTTGTCCATTTCAACTGCCAAGACCCCTGAACGCTCGTACTTCTGGTCATCAATAGCTCTTCTTGGCTTTCAACGTCTTACGGCGGGTATGAAGCTGGTTGTGGTAGGAAAAGCGGGCGTCACCTTGCCTTGGGGGGTTGATCTCGTGTCCTTCAACCATGTCAGTCGTTCATAGAGAGGCAACTTGGCGGATGGTTGCACCGCATGTGCATGATCTTCTTACCTGGAGTTGACTCCATCGAGATTTGATCCACATCATCGCTTAGTTTTGTCCTACCTTTCGTGATATATGTCTTTTCTTTGGATGGTTCTCTTCTATGTAGTTCGGACGGGAGGTTATTCTCAACCATGCCATCGTCATACTCATCGACTCTTGCAATTATGGGCTCGGATGAAACCAGAAATCTTTCGCCGACAAAAGCCATCTCTCATGTTTCGATAATGAGGCACTTTGATTTCAAGGGCCATAGAGTTAACGCCACAACCTGCTGTCACGCGTATTAGAGTTTCATTGACCCCCATGACATGATTCCCTGCCTTGCAATGACAAATTCTCATCGGTTCAGCACTCCTCGAAAACCTGGTCTAACGCTGCGTGAGTAAGATCTTTAGCCAGTGGTGCAACAATTACAGGGTTTGGAACACCACCATCGGTTGGAACCGACTTCCAGACTGCATCTGTCACCAGGTAACCGATCCTCATCCCGCGCAGAACTCCAGGGGTGTGCACGCCCTTGTTAGATGACATTTGTCCAGGCAAGGCGGAACAGAATTTTCAAGTACGTCCCAGGCATGCCATGACCGTCGATTCAACAAATCAGAGTCTTGATGATCTTCAGCTGAGAGCCCTGCCTGGCATCGTCAGACAAAAGTGCTAGTCCAGTGTTCCTACGCTCGGACAAAGAGACAAGAAGGGTAAGTATACTGGCCCAAACTCTTAGGTCCTTCCCAATCCGAGGTCTCGGCTTCATGAACTCATAATAGCTAACATCGCGTGATAGTGCCAGTGAGCCGCGGGCAAGCGACCCATGGGGGCTTCATGCGCGTCTAACCGAGACAGCGCGCGTGGCTTCGTTCAGTCGGGCAATTGCTCGTAGAATCTCTGCTTATTTAGATTCAGTAAAAGCCCAATTTATTTGATCGTCCAAATAAAATACCCTTGAACTGACCGAAAACCTTATGCCTCTGAAATGATTGACCGCCCCTTTTTTCTAGACATGATCGGCTTTGTATTTCACCCACATATGAGTCAAGTATTGATTGATGTATTGACTATGATTTAATAGAGCTTGATTCAAGCCAGAGACATCTTGAAATTGTAGCCCAAAACAGCAGCCTGCCCATTACCTATCAATTCGTTGAAAGCTCTAAATGTAAGCTGAAATATTTGCTCTCATCGAGCGCTCGGAAGATCACTTTTTGGACCGAGCTACTAGGTTGGATGATATAAAAGCTGGGCGAAAAACACAGTGGTTACCCGCATTGCGTGTCCAAACAGCCCTCTAGACTTTTTCATTCTTAGCCAGTGGCAGTGCTTTCTTCTTCTTTCATGAATATAGCGAGCTGGCTGTTGTAAGTCATGTATTCTGGTAGACCAGTCGAGTGGATGTTTATCTGCTTTTGAAGACCGCGTTGCCCTCACGTGCTGCACGTCGATCTGAGTGACCCGAAATAGGAAACAGGGGCAAAGATTAGGGGCTCCGCAAAAGTCATTCTTCCCGGGGATGACGTCTTGGGTAGATAACCGGCCAGTATCGTACTGCAGTCCCAGTCTATTGACTTGACACTACTGCCACCAAACCCCCGATTCCTCTCCGATTTCCATCCTTTCAAGGCTACACTTTCCGGTTGTCTGGATAAACTGCTGCATCGTCCCCTGTCTAGTGGCAGCGGGTCAATGCTGCACAAACCAAAGATTGATGCGTCGTCGCGGACCGTGCCGCCATCCGGCACTCCCTTCCTTCGGACGACTGATCCGAGATAGCTTACCACACTGTGGCTGTATTGGATGCCAGTCCATCGCTGGAGGTTAACGATAGCGCTCTCTGGTAGCATGAACTTGAAATAGATCTATGTAGTTGGCAGGGGCCAAGCGCTAGTCTTAGACAGCACACGTGGTCTTCAACAGCCAACATCGATTGTGGTCAACGTAGAACGCCGTGTTTCGTTGCATCTAACAGACAACGTCTTGTGGCGCCAACAAGCTGGCTTTGGCTTGACAATGAGACCAGTCAATTGAGAGTCTGATTATTTGCCGAGACATATGCAAAGAAGAAGACTTGCAGGCCTCCTCATCCGCATGCGGACTATCACGCAGGGAAGTGTGGGCAAGGATTGCTCCGATGTTCGGAGGCGGTACGTTTCCCCGGATTTCACTTGGGGCTGGCCGCGGAGAAGTTTCCGCCACCCGCTTCCTTCAATTGTTTCATGGAGGCACAATATGCGAAATAAAACTTCCGAGAACCACGCTACGGAAGTTTAGAAGATAGACGCTGTCCTGACTCGGCTATTACACCTACTCTGGACTCGCCTCCCGATGGCCTAATATGCCATCCCACGCGACCCACGGCAGAGCCCTTGCTTCTTTAGAAGGCATCTCTGCTGACAACTCGGATCTTGAGCCGTCGCAGATAACCGAGGTTGTCAGTCGCAATGATGACTTCAAGGGTAAATCGCCTACTCAGGCCCTTGAAACCCCTGACACAGCATCCATGAGCACCATCGAGCTATCTCTGGATCTTGGTGCCTTGGATCCGACCTTTCGAACAACGGAATATGTGCGATCAAAGGGGATCCAAGGGCTTTTAGAGCCTGCCGTACCTACGGCCATCGACCAAAAGTATCAATCACCATTCTCATGGTCGCTAAAAAAGAAGACAACGGTCCTATTCGGAACCTTCATCGCCTCCACACTCTCAGCCTATTCTTCAGGCGCCTATGCCATGGCTGCAGACCCCTTGACCCAGGAATGGAACATCTCGAACACGGAGTTCAATCTGGGAATCACACTGTTCGTTCTAGGCTTTGGATTTTCGCCTATGGTGCTCGCTTTGATTAGCGAGATTTGCGGCCGATACTGGGTATTTGTTGGTTCCGGAGTGGTCTTCTTCCTCGGAACGCTGGGCTGCGCCGTTACTACCTCCTTTCCTGGGATGCTGGTGTCAAGGCTCGTCACTGGAAACGGCGCGGCTGTGTTTGCGACGCTAACTGGAGGCGTGGTTGGAGATGTCTTCCACAAGGAAAACCGAAACACCCCAATGGCATTGTACTCGTTGACAATTCAGCTCGGCACTGGTCTTGGACCATTGATTAGTGGAATCATTGTTGACCATCTGCATTGGAGGTGGATATTTTATCTTCAAATGATTACTGTCGGCTCAACTACCCTGGCGATATTTTTCTTCTTTGATGAAACCAGAAGCAATGTCCTATTACAGAGGAAATGCGGTGCTCTCAATAAGCACTTTGAAAACCTTCAGTTACGAACTACAACATCAATCAAAGCAACCGATCAGCAAGTGGTTCAGCAAGAGATTAAGTTGAATGATATTGATGCGTCCTGGGTCATCGTTCAGTTTCAAGCACATACCGAAAGCCCAGAACTTAACCTTACCATCGTTTGGCGGAGCTTCACCTTTCCTCTAAAACTCCTCTTCACTGAATCGGTTGTATTCTGGTTCTCGGCTTGGGTTTCCTTTGCTTGGGCAATTCTCTATATGCAGTTCAATAGTATCGGGCTCGCCTTCCGGAGTAACTACAACTTCAATAGCAGCCAGGTTGGCGGCGTTTTCGCAGCTGTCATTGTTGGTGCAGTTTTGGGAGCAGTCATAACGATCTTTCAGGATCCCATATTTAGGAAGATGATGCCTCGACGTATGGCTACCCCGGAAGGACGACTGTACTCGGCATGCATTGAATCATTATTCTTACCCATCGGTTTGTTTTGGTTTGGCTGGAGTTCGTCGCCGAATACCCCATGGATAGTCCCTGCACTGTCTATTGTATTTGTAACGGTTGGTATATTCACCATTTATCTGGCTGTATTCAACTACCTCGCCGACATCTACCATCGTTACGCGTCTTCTGCACTTGCAGCTCAGTCAATGTGTCGGAATCTGTTGGCCGGTGTTTTCCCACTGTTCATAAACATCGTTTTTCAAAGGCTTGGATATGGAGCTGCTGGAAGCCTTCTTGGCGGCATCGGCTTGCTTTTATCCTTGGTTCCATGGTTGCTTTGCATTTTTGGAGAAAAGATTCGAGCACGAAGCCCCTTTGCCGGCCAACTCAAAGCAGATTGATGGTACATCCTGGTAAAGAGACGAAGAGCCAAGCATCTCAACGCATAGGACACACACTCTGCTTGGCAGTATTGATACTGAAATGTAGCGTGTATTGTCTTCATAAACCTTCTTCCATCGCGCTTTCTCTCGAAAGGTCAAGCCTCAGTTTACCATCTAGTGCTCAACGTGTGCCTCCAGCAGTTTCGTCATATTCACTGTGGCGTATACCGGTTCCTTGCCAATGTCTTATTTAGGGCAATCGGCCACGTTTGAAGAGCCGGGTCCGTTCCTTAGGCAGCTTTGTCCAGCCTTGTTTGCGCAGCTACCAGTCGTACAGAGCAGCTTGACGCCACTAGCAACCTCCTGACATTCGCCCTTGGCTGTGCATTTACCCTCTTGAGCCTGTTACCATTAAAGTATATGAGTCAGCCTTGCATCGTCAACTGAGCGTTGTGTGAGAAATAAAGAACTTACCACGGCGGTGGTCGCAAGACCAAAAACCATAGCAAAGACGAAGTTGGTAAGCTGCATGTTGGTAGGAGTTCAATGAGTTCAATGTAAGAGTTCTAAGTGGGTTGTAATGTAAAATCGACTTGTACAACAACTGTGAGATGTTGACCAATTCTCTACCCTTATATAGTGCCAAGGCCATATAAAGATCGGCGTCTATTTTTGTCTAATATATTTGATGCAAAACCTTCCGTTTAAACTTTACGACCCGGCAAGCTCGGAACTTAGTTATCCACGCGTAAGTCCTTCTGAGTGAAACACTGAGCTTTGTTTATCCTTACAATTGCCTCTCTGCTTGGACTTAGGTCCTCTGTTAATGACTTGCGCCGCAATTGACAAAGTTAGAGACTGAAATTCCCTACATTTCGAATTTAGCACTTGGAAGGTTCCAAAACTCCTGTCTCATGTAACCTTTGACTTGAGTATCCATGTCTTGTTGTGTAGAAAATAACGACGTGACACCGCCTGAAACCGGACTAGACCGATTGGATCAGCAGACGATCTTCAGGCGGTGAATACTGTTCTCCTTACTCCGCGTATTGACCAGCAACTTCAGCCAGGGTAGCCTTACTTTAAAAAGCATTGCATACAGATAAACAACAGCGAGGGTTTTCTCAGTATGCGTCATTCCTGACGTAGGTAATATTTTTCATTTTCGGCTATTTACATTGACTTAGATTGAATACGGGGAAAGACGTAGTCTTCCTAACACTAAAACAGTTCCAGAAGGTCTATTAGATTACCATGACACATGACCTAGGAAACAAGCTTTATAACTGGGAACTTTCTACGATTTTTCATGTTTGTAGCCATACTTGTGACCAGTAGGTGAAAGTGTTTGAAAGTAGACATGAATCAGATCTCCAAGGTAACGGACCTGCAATCATGCACCAACAGTACAGCGCCGCAAGCATTGGAGTTTCTGGTTGACCTCAAAGTCGCTTCATTTACGTTTACCAGGTTTTGAAGTGCTTAGCTTTTAATACAATTGCTTGACTTTGGTTTGGCGACGGCTCGGAGTAACTTTAGCTGGCCTGATTGTTGTGGACGAAGATGTAATAATCGGCTACAACTAGGGAATTTTGTGGGACGGCTAAACAGGAAAAGTGAAGATGAATAAAGAGAGAGAGGCCGACTGAGTTGACACGAAGTCTGGTGAATCGCTGCGGGGGGACTTCCAACTCTAATTGCCCCAATGCAGCCGAAGGTTACCCAAAAAGACAGTTCAAGTGCTTCCTTTCCGATCACCACAACCAAGAATCGTCAAGATGACAGGAGGCTTCACATCGAACATTATTTAGCAGCTAACGGGATGTTTACGTCAGATATTCACGTTCCTTTTGTTCTATATACAAATCCTATATACTAAGTCACTGTGATTAACAATGTTTATCGACGGAAACCTTGATTATAATCACGCCAGAACCATTACATATCCTAATACGCAAGCAGTAATCCCGAAGACACCCGTTATATGTAAGGCGTGTCGCTCAGCCGGTGCTTTAGCAGCAACAACGGTTTCCACTGGCGAAAACTTTTGGCTTTGAGACGCTGCTTTATTTGGGTTCGGAACCAACGGCTCTTGTTGAATTGGACCCACTGTGTCAATTGGATTTCGAGCCTGCGAAAGGGTAGGATTTGAAGCCACTGGATAGTTGAAACTTGGAGCCGCTGAAGTAACCGCCATGCGAGGTTGTGTTGCAAGTAATGATTTAACCAACTCGAAAGATAACGGTGATGTTTCTTTTGCTAACGAGATCTGATTTTGTGGGAGGCTATCGGAAAGTGACGGAACCACTAAGGTCACTGTATTCTCCCCTCTGAGGCCACACCTGTGGCATTGAGCCACTGTTGTAACCATGCATACCGACGGAATCTTTTGGGTGGGGCAGCCGCAATCCTCAAAGTATATCGTGGTATGAAACTCGGTTTTTACCATAGCGGTAGGGTTAAGTGGGTTGACTGTGGTATAGAAGATTGTAGTTACGACAGAAGTAACACTCAACGTATTACTTCTGGTCTGAGTGGCTGTTCTCCCAGTAATAATGGTGGTAGCCCCGCCTGAAGGTAGGGAAACTGATGGTAAACCCGGAGGGAAGTTTTCTAGAGTGACTAGACTCGACGGAATTTGTAAAGGGGGCACATTCAAGCTCGAGCTGCCGGGCAATGGAATCGGCGCAGCGCTTGACGGGGATGGGCCGATAGCTGGACCAGAAGGACCAGCATTACTGGGAATGTCTGTAGAGCCAATGTTTCCAACGCGACCAAACAAAGTTAGAAGAACGGTGGGTGGGGCAGCGCGTCGGGAAATCTGTTGACCGTAATAGTTACGCCGGCGCAAGGTGGTAGCGTTCGTTAGTCCACCGCATATCTGACCAGCATTGCCGGGGCAAGGTAGGTCGCAGCTACTAACAAGCGTAAGGACAGTTCCTTGGAGAAAGTCTGAGGCATAGCATGTGCTACATCAAATATTAGAAAACAAAATTTCAACGGGAAGAGTGGCGTAGATAGGCTTACTCATTGAATACGCCCCCGTATTGTCGCCCCTGGGACAGAAGGACACATCTCTCTTGCGTCATGTTTGGATCCTGGCCGACTTGGACAAAAGATTCGTATCCTGAAGGTGACCCCAAGCACCCAACGAATGTGTAGTTATTCACAACTGGGATGTTGGTGGGGAGTATGGATGCAGTGAGAGTATTACTAGAAGTTGGAGGTAGGGGCCTAGGCGAGGATGAGGTTGCGGTAATACTTGCGGCTTGTTGGCTTGAGGTCGTAGTAGGAGCCTGGCTCAGGATGTTTGAAACAGTCGGAGATTGCGACGTTGAGGTACTAAGTATTTCAATGGATGTGCTAGTTGATAAAATGGACGAAGACAGGGTAGATGAGTCAGAAGTAGTTGTTTCAACTGAACGGCTAGTACTCGATGATAATGTCGTAGTTGCTGATATGATGGATTCTGAAGCTAATAGCGATGAGATAGCCGTGGTAGTAGAGCTGGACGAGGTAGGAGCTGTAGAGTCTGTTCTTATTGAAGAGTCGGTAGTAGTTGTCGTAGTCAAGCTGGATGAGGGTGTAGTTGATGAAGTGGTTGTAGTGATAGAGCTGGATGAGGGTGTTGAAGACTCGATAGTAGTAGAAGTACCAGAGCTGGATGAAGAGTCGGTGGTAGTGGTAGTAGAGCTGGATAAGGATGTTGAAGAGTCGGTAGTAGTGGTGGTTTCAGAGCTGGACGAGGAAGTAGTCGAGGAAGTGGTAGTGGTGGTTTCAGAGCTGGATGAGGAAGTAGTCGAGGAAGTGGTTGTAGTGGTAGTATCAGAGCTGGAAGAGGACGTTGAAGAGTCGGTAGTAGTGGTGGTTTCAGAGCTGGACGAGGAAGTAGTCGAGGAAGTGGTAGTGGTGATTTCAGAGCTGGACGAGGAAGTAGTCGAGGAAGTGGTAGTGGTGATTTCAGAGCTGGACGAGGATGTCGTTGAGGAAGTGGTAGTGGTGGTTTCAGAGCTGGACGAGGATGTCGTTGAGGAAGTGGTTGTAGTGGTTGTAGTAGAAGTTCGAGGTATTGTTAGGCCAACAATATTGTAAAAAACCGCCACATCCTCGTGGCCACTGACGGCTTCACATATAAACATTCTAAATTTCGTCTGTGTACTTTTCACAGGGTAAGTGATTGAGCGCAAGCCTGTGGACCTATTGTGCGATATACCGGTGCCGGGAGGTGTTGCAGTAATGAGGGGGGAACTGGATGACAACCATGGTATACCGTCGAAGGGTTGCTCGTTAAAAGTATCGAAGGTGATTTGCATACTGTCAGGATTTCGACCGGCACTACTCATATATATTAGTTATTATTCTCGATAGATATGTCATATTGATCGGATGACTTACGGTTCCTGTAATGCAAACACAAAATTGACTTGGAGATCGGTGATCTGAGCAGTTGTAGTGATGGTGAAATTCAACTGTGCTATTTCCCAGGCCTCGTTGTTCACCCCGCATCGTGTATTGGGTTCATTGATGAGCTTCCCGTATTCCGTATCTGGGTTTCTCCCAGCAACAGCATTTTCTACAGGTCCAGTAGCATGCATAGCGCCGGGACCGATTCCGAAAGGGCCATTTGTGTAAGATCCGAAGGTATCGATATTTCCTCGTCCGAAGACCGAACCGCCCAATATGCCAAGCCGGTTATCCCCCTGAATCGCTTTCTGTGCTATCCCCAGATAACCAGGATTAGGTTCGGTGCCAGGCGTGACAGTCAAACTTACCACTACAGTGAAGAGCGTGACTAAAACCTGGACCAACATGATGGTATGAGACAGCATCTTCACTTTCGTGGCACAAACGACGGATATTTTTGAGAGATTGGCATATGGCGAAGAAACCGAAACACAATAGATGATTGCTTGGTTTGGTGGATTGAGGGTGTTTTTGTAGACTCAACAATAGGGACGGGATAGGGAGATAAGGCTGACAACGATTCCCGAAACTTGGGCCTAACACTAAGTGGCATTAGCTTGGAATGCTACTTAGGACGCTTTTCTTAATTTAACACGATTCATCCCATCGATGGACAAGACGCTAAATCTGGCTGTCTTACCTTGTGCAGAGTTACTTCCACTATCCAAGCTATATTTGCTATTTGGAGGCTGCTGCAGGGGTGAATGAGAGTTAACTTAATAAGGTATACAAATGATATGAATCGACGATGGCATGACCAGCGAAGACATGGTAAATAGGACTTCTGTTAACAGGAGCCGTTCTATAAACTATCTATTTGCCTACTTTTGCCAATTTCATGGTGCTACTAGCTACGAGATGTTTCATGAGACCCTCGATGCAGATTAAAATGAGCTGGAGTCGCCCTTTCTAATGGAATAAAATGATCATCGGCGAGATTTGTCAATAAGTGTATTAGAGGCACACCATTCAGGAATGCTTATGAACGCTTAGGAATGCTACACAGTCGAACTGAACTCATCCTTACGAGATACAGCTTAGCGCGAGTAGACATTCAAAGTTTAAAAATATTGAAATCAATACATGCCAGGCGCCTTCAGGGACAATCACTTTGAGGAATGTAGCATCGTCGCCGGTTTTGCGGGTTCATTTGTCTTATTCTTATTAAGCACGAGACAACAAGCTAACATGAATGACCCTCCTAAATAAGCTCAAAATGATAAAAGCTCTAGCTCTGCATGTTGTAGAACTGGCTACCTTTGTCAGAATACCCGTTATGAGATATCCACTCCTTCGTCACGCGAAGGAAACCGTCATTGCTGATCGATAGTGTAATCGTGGGCGAAAGGTGGCCAGGGCCTTCGCAGGAAGTCAAAGGCAGCCGTGATCGTTAGGTGTTACAGCCAGCTTGGTGAAAGTTGGGTTCTGCTAACATCTGAGGCAAGCAGACTCACTAGCGTAACAGCATTGGGCCCTTTGGGGCTCCCGATCCCCTGATCGGGGTGTGACCTAGGTGGACCTTTCTTTTCTCTTTCTGCACTTAGCAAGGGGCATCACTAGGATGGTAGGAATAGCTTCATGTGGAGGCACGCGACCACGACCATCCGTAGATTGCGAACCTTGATCAGGCCGCAGACACGCGAAATGTCTTGCTTGGTGATAAACCTCCCAGTGCTATGGCATGTCCGACTAACAGCAACAAGGATCGGAGAGAAACTTTTCGAATGGCCGGAAACCGAATTGGATCTTGGCCAAGCCTTGGCTGATATGGCCCTCTATTGGCTGGCCGACACCCTGCCACGTTGTGTGTGCACTTACCGTGATACCTACCTTTCCATGTGCTTTCTTGGCAAATTTCATATTTCGACAAGCCTTTTGGGCAGGTATTCCTGGATCAAGCACGAGCTGCTGTCTGAACCTAAAAGAAGCTCGGCTTATGTTCTACCGACAGCACGAACATGTAATGTGAACATAAACCAATGGCTTCATACTACTGATGTTTTTATCGGGGCGAACACTTCGCAACGACGGAAAGACCAAAATAATTCTTGATGGATATGGCAGATTTCATGCCGATTGTAATGACAGTACAATTGACAGTACAATACAGGAGTTAAATCTCATCTATTCGCCCTCCTACACACCTAGATACTGCCGCTTCTGAGGTGATCAGGTGATGCTTCAGGTAAGAAGGGTGAGCAGGGTAGGCAAGTTGAGTAGTAATTGGTAATACTACTATCATAAGCCCAAGTGCTAACCGTTTGTGACTGAGCGTAGGAGTGATTAAATGAAGAAGTAAATTGATTTTGGTGAAAGCAGTACACAGTATACAGAAAAAGTCGGAAATACTTGATGTGAAATTTAATTAATTTTATATACCAGTTAGAAGCCCCCAACATGCAGGAATGACTGGATTCTATGATTCTCTTTATGATAAGTCTGTAAGTATAAACAGATAGAAGAACACTCCACTCTTGCTCTAAGCTCAATCCACCATATGATACGACTCGCTTTGCGATACCACAGGTAGAATAACAGTAATGCTACAGGATCCCTGGCCCGTAGCAAGTCTTCAAAAGAGCCATGAATTATCCGAGTGAAGACTTGAGTATGGCCTGTTGTGACCTCGCGATCCGGTAGGGCTATAATCTGAGAGACCGCGTGTGCGGCATGGAAATATGGATTTTCTTCCGCAGTAGACGAATCTTGTAGGTTACACACGGCAACTAAGTCCACTGGTATGCCATTTATGCCTTTCTGGGGCAACGGTGATTGCATATGAGAATAGGTTGGCGCCATAACGTGGAAGAGACTGTCAGGTCGCAAAGGGTCCATAATGTGCCATAATGCCATTTTACCATTAATCATGCGTAGCCAGACCAAGTCGGAGGTGCTAGATGGCTTGAGAGGCCACGCCTGTTCGGGGGTGCCTGCGTTAGGGGAGGAGAAGGTCAACAAAGCCAAAGCAGCCGCGGTACCCCAAATTGGATCTTTATCTTTCACTTTAATCGGCTCCCTCAACCGCTTGTTCAGGAGAGCTGTGCCTTGAGACCAGTGAAAACACTCATCTACAGTGGGGCGACAGTCTTGGGAGGCATTGAGATACCGGTCATACGTAAACGCCACGGCTAGAGAGGCGTGCATCAAACAGGGATACTGTAAGGTGTTCGTTAGCCGAGCTCATGCTTATAATGTATGATACGGCTTCCATCTTTCCTGAACAGACAGAAAAAACGCAGTAAAACTTACTTCAAAGGTAAGTTCGAAAAGCCCACGATTGACTTGTGCCATCTGGGTGTCTCTGGGGTTAATGAGACTTCTCCCAAGATATCGTGTTACGAAATCTTGACATTTTGAGTTCAGCTGGAAGGATGTAAAGCCGTCCGATGTCCAGACGGCGTTTGTGAGGGGAGGCTTGATAACTTCGTGTTCTCGAGCCACCAACGGCCACGTGTCAGTACCGACGGGCTGGAGGTCTGGGACATTGGCCAGGAAGTTGCACAACAGCCCGAAAGAGATGCATCTTTCGCATCGTGGTTTACCTTGGTCGCACTAATGAGCCAAGAAAATGAAATCAGCCTTGGACTTTAACCTCCCCAGAGCGTGAGAGGGCAACCCACTTTAAGTTTTCGAAGCTTGCAATTCCGACAGCCAAATCTGGACCTCCGCGACGTCCTGCGTTCGTTATGTACCTCTTTCGTACAATTTGAAGGCATGATGAGCAAATAATCTGATACCGATACTTTTGGCAGCCTGGCTGTGATGGGGCTTCCCCCTTTTTTGTCTTTGTTGTCCGATACCCGAGTCGCTCCCCCGCCGGTGAAAGCGGCGGACTTATCATGCTAACCTCCATTTGGATGCCCCACTATACACGCTAGCTGTTCTTCGGAACCAGGAGTCTCGGATTGGCTTCTGTTCATATCCATGGATGTTAGAAGTATCCACATCTGTAACTCAACACAAGATCACAATGGCACGTCACAACGGTATAGCTGCAAGCAAGTTATTCCATCAGGGTAATAATCATACGTGCTCACATATAAATAGCCCAGTGTTCTTCGACAACCTGTTATGGAAAATGCTTCTACAGAAACCCAAAGCATGCAAGCTCAACTTGTATAGCAGATTCAGTCGAGGTGAAATTTTAAAGCCTCCAACAGCTACTTCTTGCACAAGCATTTCAGAATGGCCGCCCATCACGCCGCCGTAACCCCCGCAAAAGGCGAGCCTTTCGAGGTTCGGACACGTCCTACGCCGAAGCCAGGCCCAGGCGAGCTCCTCATTCAGGTCAAATCTGTAGCCCTCAACCCAGCAGACCACCTGATGCGTGACCAAGGCATATTCATACCCACCTACCCCACGGTCATTGGTTTCGATATCTCGGGGTTAGTCCTAGAGGTCGGCGAGAACGTCCCAATTGATGACGCCGACGGAAGATCAGGTCCCTTTTTCCAGCCGGGCATCACCCGTGTCGCCGCCTACGCCGCCTCGTTCTGGAACTCCTACACGGCTGACTACGGTGCCTTTCAGGAGCGATGTCTAGTGCCCTGGCAGCATGCCGTGCCTCTTCCAAATGAGGGCATTTCCTGGAACCAAGCTGCAACCCTGCCTGTCGCTGTACAGGTGCCCCTAAGCGCGTGGGACGCTATGGGGCTTTTGCGAGTACCAGACACGGCGTCTTCTTCCTTAGCCTCCGTCGCTTCAACTGGTCACGACGCTGCCGGCAAGGATCAAAACAAAGAAATTTCTAAGAAAGATGCCATACTGGTGTGGGGTGCTTCTTCTAGCGTGGGCACGATGGGTGTGCAAACCGCTCGCCTGCTGCGGGAGGATCACAATTCTTCAGTCGCCGCCGTGTACGCCGTGGCCGGTGCCGCAAACCAGGAATACGTAGGCTCACTCGGCGCGGATCGCGTCTTTGACTACAAAGATCCATACGTTGTGGGTCAAATCGTATCCGCGGCTAAAGAGAGCCATCTATCGATTCGGAAATGCTTTCTTGCCACGGGGCATCTGGCGACTTGTCAAGCGGTTCTCAAGGCTTTTCTTTCGGATGACGAAGGAAGACGAAATGAGACAGCGAAGATTGCGTCGGCACCAGTTATCCCACCAAATGCGGAAGAGGTTGAAGGATTAGAAACCATCTTCTTGATGCCGTCGGCGGATGAACGGCAAAGGTTAACTCAGTTTCGGTATTGGATGGGAGAGTTCCTGATGGAGAATTTAGCCAACGGGAGTCTTAGACCGAGCCCGAAGCCGACTGTTGTAGGCAAGGGTTTAGATGCTATAAATTCTGGTTTGGACATGCTACTGCAGGGAGTGAGCTGTACAAAGTTGGTTGTAGAAGTTACCGAGTGAAAAGGTGTTAGAGAGGTGGGGAAAAACGAAAAGTTTTGAAAAACCGGTTGAAAGACTATCTAGAGAAGACAAAAGTTGTAACCAAGCATTGAGCAAATCTTATTGTCAGTATTAATACTAGCATACATATATTTCCTCTTATCTCGCAAATTCAAACATTACTAAGAGAAGTCCCGTTGTGACAATTGAGATAAATAGAGCAAAGAAACGACGGGATTAAGCCGTACGTAGTCGCATACCGCTAAGCCAAGACTGCTTATGGAGAACAGGCTATACACTCAGTAATTTTGCCTGTTGCAGTTAATATTGTGTGCACTGCTGTTGTTGAGTGCAATCCGCAATATTTATATCTGGTTAGGTACTCAACAAACTAAGTGTTACCTGAATATTTCTGTGGAAAGTGGGAGATTTACAACTTCTAGCGAGTTACATTTGTTTTTGATGGATGCGCGGTTCTAGTTAAGGTGAGTTTTCAATCATAAGAATTAGATTAAGCTAGGTCTAAATTCTGTTGGGCGTATCTCTGTCTATATCTATACGATTCCGTGAAAGCCCATAGCTATTTTCTCTAGAAGCATCGCCCTTCCTCCTAATATGCCTCACCTGCCAGTCATTATTTTCCAACCAAGTATTTCAACCCTTTCATCGCTTGCTCATTTGCCGTAAACAAAATGCCCCCAGCCATGACTGTTCGCCCCAACCGCATGACCGTCCCCCTCCACAAGCCTTTAACCCCATCCTCAGCCAGAATGGCCCGCAAGGACTCCATCGTCCCCACAGCCCTCGCCTGCTGTGCTTTGGTCTTGATGGTATCGAACGGCTGTGTCGCCAGCGTTGTTACTGTACCAGCAACTGCGCCATTCGCGAAGCTCATCAGCGGGCCCTCAGGACTGACTCCCCTGCTCCTCTCGAAATCCTTGATAATGCTATAGCTGCCGAGCCTGAACCCCGTCGTCCCGATTTGCTTCAGCGTCGTCGTGACGTAACCCCTCCACAGCGCCTTCAACACCCCCTGCTCTCGCGTAAGCGTCACGACGCAATCCACCGCGCCGCGGAATCTCCGCGTCGTCTTTGCGTCGTCGATGAGCGCCGTCTTGATGCGCTCGGTGGGTGTTACAATGACGGTGCTACCCAAGACTCCAGCAACCATGCCCGAAGCTATGCTCTGCGCCGGGCTGAGCGTGTGCGTCTTCTTGTCCTCAAATACCGAGCGGATGCTGTCGAAAGCGAGGAAGCGAACCGCGTCTTTGCCGACGGAGCCAACGATCATAGTGCTGCAGCCCTTGTAGAGCGCGGGGATTCCCTCATCGCGGGCGACGCGGAGGACGACAGCGAATGGATTCCGTGTGCCATGCTGGTGACCGTAGAGCTGGACGCGTGTCTTTGCGAACTCGAATGGATAGGTACAGGCGGCTTCAACGCCGCCGGCTATGCCTCCGGCGCAAAGCGAGAGTAGTGGCGATGTTTTGCCGTCTGTCGGGGCGACCATTTTGGATAAGCTAGGAGGGCGTCGAGGTATAGAAAGCTTGCCTTGTCATTGGGGTGCGAAATGACACTGGACATATTAAATGCGGTCGGTGTTAATGTTGACGAATGACGTAGTCAGGATTAGTCGGGCCGGGGTTCTGCTCGGGTAATTAATTGCGAACTGTTCCCCAGGAAGACGGCTACCAATGGATCAGACACTAATTATAGCGTACGTTCTGGCCGCGCGACGTTAAGGCGGCGGGCGGGTGATCGGACAACATATGAGCCTTGTAATGGCAAAACTCTCAAGACTTGAAGATGAAAAGAAATATTGTAGATTCCCAAACTTATCAGATTTGTTTCATATCCAACATATCAGGGGTTTGGGTGGCACCGACAACCTAGATCCAACAGCACTTATGTACCAGGACGGCAGCAAAGGCGATGACTCTCGGCTTAAGAATGTATTGCTGGTGCATGATTGGCCCAAAGTTGAATGTCATTAAGCTACATTGTGGGGGGAAAAGAATCTGATGGTCATGATGTGCGCGGCTTGGGAGACTATTCAGCGCCGCTACGTGCAGTACTTATTTGGAGCACGATATGTATTAGAGGAGGATGGGGTTCAAATGGCCACAGACTTATGATGTTCAATGGGAAGATCGCTCTATATTCAAAGTGAAGACAGGTAAGTCTGTAAAAATAGAGAACGTGATTATCAAGCGTGTATTCATTATCGTGCAAGATCTGATCGTTACAAATTAATGATCCCTGGACCATCTCACAATCAAGTGAGGATCATCTTTGTGGTCCCGGCAACCCCAATGCCGTCAACATTAACTAGCTAAAACAATCCACAATCTTTGAACTAGAGCATATAAATATATCAGCTCTGAATAATACTAATTAAACCGTGTCGCATTGGACTGAGAAGCTCAACCAGCTCGATTCGCTCGTGGGCGGCGCGGAACAAGCTTGAGGGAGTACCTCCTGTCCTGTCCCCTCGCATCCTTCAATTGTGTATGCAGTCACTATAGAGCGTCAGCCGTCGTTAATTCAGATAGCAGGGCTAAGTCTCTTCAACCTACAGTGACATCCCGGAGCCAGGTATTTGCCATCGAGCACGATACCTCTGACTGGGCTTGTTTGAGGAGCATTGAATGTTGGTTGGCATTGGCCAGTTTGAGATTTGTTAATAGTCCAGACGCCGAGGTTTCCCGTGTTTTGACCGTTGGCTCCGCAACTTTTTTCGCTCCAAATGCGGAAGTTGAGGATATGGGGGTCATCACGCCGCATGGGGTTGGCATTGGCTGTGACGAGGATGATGGCGGAAGTAAAGATAACGGATACCCGCATCATGAATTGAATGGGAGCGATAACGTTGTAGAAACGTTTAAAGATTTAGATGGTAATAGTCCTACAATTCGGACAAGGGCGCTTGTTGTCTGTATTTGCAGCGAATGTAAGGTGGAAAAAGCCGATGAGGACATGAGAACCTTAAGGGTGGAAGTCAGAAGCTTTATACCAGTCTGGAAAGTAAGGGGCTGTGTTAACAAGCAGTCGAGAAACAAAGCATTTGCGGTAGCAATCACACGTTTTGCTGCATTAGTTCACAACAAAGGCTTCACCACCAAATTCGGTCTTGCTAGGAATACGAGTGATCTGCATATTGATAGTCTGGGTCACACTTATGTCTTACTCGTATGTTTCCACCCAAAATAGGGTGGTAGCCAGAGCCGTCGGACATACGGGCGATGCAGTGTTACGAGAAGTGTCCATGCCATAAACTCGGGACTTCCAAGCTCAATAGATCGCTCCCGGCGAGTTTATCACCTTTGTGAGCTGGAGGCGAAGCCAATCACGTTAAGACGGAGAATAACCAACAATACACCTCACCGTTGAGCCCCACGCCGTGTATTTCCACCAATTATCGTTACAACTTGGTAGCAAGATTCGGAGGGGGCTGGAAACTAAGAACACGGGGATGCTATGTATTACATTTGCGGTTGCAGAAACTCTCTCTTGCGTTCAACGAATTACCCCGCAATACGAGGCGGATTTCCACACTGCGATCGACAGCACTTACACGAAGACGTCACAAGGAAGCTGTATATGCTACCTTACTTCTGTCGCAGTCATCTTTTGGCCGTGGACTTTTAAAATGCGCAACGTCACCTGGTCTGGCGTAGTAGTGGAGCAGGCGTACGACCGCTGCACACCGAATTCTATGCACAAGCCTGACACAGGGTTGTAAGGTTGCTAACACTGGTTGCATCATGCGTTGGTTGGTTGGCCCACTGAAAAGGATTAGAGAGTACTAAGCCTGTGGATCATGTGCTCTTTAACAGCAGGTGTGACTAGGGCTTTGCAGTGGATTTGGAAACAGTGAAGGTGTAACCACCTTCAATCAACATACCTATCTGGAATACGGTCATGCATCAAGCCCGAGACTACAATATTCTGTTGCTATTCGCTGCCCATCTAACCACTTCACAAATGGTATCTAACGAATGACTTTCATGACCCGGCTTTAGGCGGAAGACCACTCGCACTGGCCTTTTATGAAATGTATGGCAGCCGGTTCTGTCACTGCGAGGGTGTAGTCAGGATCTATGCTACCAGTTCAATTTTTTCATTCACTGATTAATACAATCATCATAGTAGAAGACAGTATTGGCCTTGATTTATTGCAAAATTTTGGGGAAAAATAACGCTTGAATTATATCTTCAAATCGGAATGTTTGTTTCACAAAGCGCACATAGTTGAGAGCTAGAGCCGTCGCCTATGGATTTAAGGTGGCTAGACTTCTTTACATTGCTCACTGGTGAGTGGACTTGAATGATAATTAGTATTCTCAGTGTCAAGGAAAGTCCAATCTACGATGAATAGTAAAAACTGACCAATGGTAATTAAAACGAGAATTCTAACGTGATAAAGATACGACTAGTTTATTGCCCCACGAACAAATATCTTACTACGCCCTGCACTGATTACAAGACAAACAACATCCCTCAAACCCTTTCAGCTAAGCAATACTTCGATCTTTCCATAGAAAAAGAAGTAACTAGACAAGAAGCGTCATCAAAGTATCGAGAATGACTATAAAAGCCATGAAGTCTCTCTGGACGACCCTAATTGTGGGCTAGGTTCCGGGGCACTATCCCGCTCCGCCTCAATCTCGATAACCACCTCAAAAAGGTTACAAGCGCCAATCCGTTCTAAGCCGTTTGAAATCAGGTCGTTCATCTCGCGCTTTGCACGTTGAAATAAGCTTTCGTCATCGTTTCTGACTCTGCATTTGAACCTCAAATTTGGACCACTTAGCCGCATAATGATCGTCTCAACATCCCCGATTTGTAACTCAGCCTTAAGTTGTCTCAAAGACAGCTTGCGAAAGCTTTCCCTGGGACTCCAAATTTGAACATCGTAGATGGGTTTGCGAGAAGAGACGAACTTGTATGTTATTTCAATTCGTGGCTGAATGTGAGTCGGTTCTGGGCTCTGTGATAGACCAGATAGTCCCAAGGTGTTGTGGTCCACTTGATTCTCCAACGTCTTTTGCTTTTCTTTCGATGCAGCTCCCGTAGAGGTGGTCGACGGGTCCATGTTTCTGGAAAATCTGGGTTCGTGCTCAGAAACGTCTTCTTTGATCATCAAAGTCGGTGTAGTGGTCTCCGGTAGATCGTCTATTGTTGTAAGGTCGATGATGACTTCCTCTTGACTACCATGGCTTGGTCGTTGAGTCACACTTCTCATCGTAGGCTGTAGTGTGCGGCTGCGGGATCTGAGGCCTCTACCAGCGAGATATCCAGCTGTCGCTGCTGAACGACGCGAGGGTGGTCTATATGCTCTATCATTATGATCAAGACCAGACCTTCCCTTCGCACGCTTGTCGGAATTAGCCGCGCTTGGTTCCGCAATGTTGTCACCGTCATCAACAGCTGATCCCATATCAAGAGGGTCATTGAATGACTCAAAATGATTTATACGCTGAGATGACTTGTAAGCTTGATATTGGTTGCCGGTTCCATGTTTCATGCTCACCTCCATGGATTCCTCGGCCTCGAGGCCATCAGGAACCTCAGAAATATCTGACCAATGATCATCAAGTGCCATCGACATACTTTCCTCCAGTCTACTCATGAAGTATCGTTAGTAAACTACTAGTTCAACACCGAAAGGTCACTCAAAGTAATGCATCAAAAGACGGCCAAAAACTTACGGAAACATCGGTGCTTCTGGAGCGCGAGCTGAGGTGCCCGCACTGCTAGGCCCCGGTAGGATGTTGCCTGCATTGCTCTCGATATGCTCACCATGTACTGTTTCATTTGATTTTTCATTCGATGCTTTATTGTTTCTCGCTTTCGTGTTTCGTTGGAGATTCCGATTCTTCCTATAAAACCATACTTTGATATAATGTCGAATCCTTGCAAATTGAATCAGTATTTGTCATTTTGTAATCTCTACCCAAGCTGTCGTTACCTTTTCTTATGATTCGGATTAGAATACTTCAGTTTATTGATATTCGGCGAGCTCTCATCATCTGGCCAAAATCGATTTCCATAACCGTTTGTCTCCAAGAAACTATCGGCCATTTCCTCCAAACCAATCTGGTGGCTTTTGTCGGACCACGAAACAAGATCATGACATGATCTTCCATTTCGATCTTTGAAGTTTTTATAAAATGGTTCGAATATGAGACGGAAACGGTCCCATCGATCAGCTGCTGATCGTCCATAGTTGAGATGTTGTCGGATCGTTGCAATTTGCTCAGGTAGGGCAACACGCGAGCGCCCAGATTTACCACCGCTCATGTTGGGATTATCTTTAATTGGCTAGGTGGTCGCCGTCTAAGAGCATGCGATTGGGGTCTATTTGATTTTATCACTGAAATAAGTCTTCCGGTATAGAGGCCTCCAACCATTTTGGCAGACAGGTCTCTGCCTTGTGATCTGCCTGTTTCTGAGCGGCCATGTCGGTGGCCATGGCCCAGCCATATCGTCTAGGTGCGCCAGGAGGCCTGTTAGGTCTCATACGAGACAAAGATGCGTTTGCCACTCATATAAAAATAACACCAGGCAGGTAGGTGTCCCTGCACATTTTGGCCGCTAAGTCGTATCAAACTGTGCAAGAGGAAAAAAAGAACATCTTTCATGTCGCCGGAAGCTTTGATCTAATTTTCTTTTTACAATTTCAGTAGAATTGGGAACTTCACGCATAGTCAAGCTCAATTGCGGCTTGTTGACAATAACAGTCTTGATCCGCCTCAGTCTCTACAAACCCGCCCCCCACTAACAACGCTCGGGTTACTATCTGTGGGCGAGAACCGGCACAGAACGCTCAGAATGGGAAAAGTGGTGTTGTTGGTTGGAAGAACTAACTAACTGGCTAGAGGGCTGTGGAGGCTGGCTAAGACCAGTGGTGGCGGCCGTCAGCCCACGTGACGGGCCGGCGAGGCCTGCCACCCACACCCCCTCTCAGACTCCTTAGCGAAAAAGAATAATAGGAAAATACAGGAAAAGTCCTAATTCCTCCAAATCCGAGGAGTTCTTAACTATTAGAAAACTCGGTTAATTACCGGTTAAACCTAGCTAATAGGAAGCCGTGAAATCCTCCGAATCCCGAAGTCTTAATATTAATAGTCTTATAGTCTCAAAATCCCCCTCTTAATCTAATCCCTCCGCCATGCCTAACAAACGAACGAATTCCTTGTGTTTAACCGCAACTAGTAGCTTCGTAAGTCTATCGGCGGCCATATCAGCGCCCTTGATAAGTCGGAGTTCGATGCTTTTCGTAGTATAAACCTCCTATATAATCTATTTATATCGGACGTCGATATAGCAGGTTCGTGCCTTGTTAAGTAGGTTTATAACGTTATTATAGCTATTAGTATTATTAGTAAATATAATAGTAGGCATAGTAATAGGTTTGCTAAGTAGTTAGGAAAGGCAACGTCTAATCTACTTTATAATAATTATTATAAGTATAAGATTAATAAATTTAGCCTTTATAATACTTAAAGTTACGAAAGTCTATTTCTTTAACTTCTAAGCAATTAACATACTAGCAAGGAAGACGATATAACTACTTATTAAGACTTATAATAGCTTATTATTAGCGAAAAAGGTATTTGTCACAGTTCTATGCGCACGCATATGTAGGGGCTAAGGCCCCACTATGCATGTGGGTCTCCCACCTGCACATAGGTCTATGAGGCCTGTTAACGTCTAGTTAGATAACATCTAGCTAGACGGCACCTTTTGGCGCAACGGTCAGGCGTGCGCCTTTTCCTGTGACATGTGGTAGCACAACCTAGTTCCTCCATTATAGCAGGCATGAGGAGTTCGATTCCCTCATCACGGACGCGCGCGAGTCTGGTGATCTGCTGAGTTAGCCAGGAAAGTTCACATACGCTGTGAGATGCCCACAAGAGGGCCGCTACGTTAGCCGTCACTGTTCTCTTCCTCGTGGAGATGTCTAGGAACTTCTGATGAGCAGGAGCCAGGACCGTCTAGCCCTGACGATGCCACAAAGCCTCTATGGCTTTGGGGTGCCCTCGGGACGAGTGCCTTTCGTGAGAGGGGCACTTGTCACAGTTCTATGCGCACGCATATGTAGGGGCTAAGGCCCCACTATGCATGTGGGTCTCCCACCTGCATATAGGTCTATAAGGCCTGTTAACGTCTAGTTAGATAACATCTAGCTAGACGGCACCTTTTGGCGTAACGGTCAGGCGTGCGCCTTTTCCTGTGACAGTATTTATAATAGCGTAAAGCCTTAACTTATTAATCGTAAGGATGCCTCTAAGTATAATACCGAGATAAATTGTTGGAACGGTAGGTAGGAATCTCGTAGATAGTACGATATCCTTATAACAGGGTATTAGAGTAAGGGAACTTGTACTTATGAAGTAGGGCTTTAATAGTAAAGAATGTATAGGCTTATATTGAAGCTGAGTTGGTTGAGGAACTAATAGCTAGCTAAGGGAGAGAATTAGGCTAGTTATATAGTAGTATAACGTCGCCTATAATAGCTAATATAGGAAGCTATAAGCTAGGTTTAGTATACGTAAGTATATACGTCAACTAGCTTATAAAGCAGCTTATAAATCAGACTAGAATCTTCTTTAACTAAATAGACTTTTAGATAAGGTTAAAGAGAGTATTCCATAGGGATCTGAATATCATATGTTTAAACTAGCAAGCAGCCATTCTTAGCTAGTTACTTTTGTAAGTCCTACTAAGTCTTAGATAAGACTAAATAGGATAAATAAGTAAAATAGAAGTATAATATACTTATACTTCTAACACCCCCTCTTTTATACTATTTAGTAGAAAAGATAAAAGGGTAATTCTAGTTAATACTAGAAGAAGGATCTAAACCTATAAGTTTAATAAACTTAATAAAGTTAGGTCTAGATAGAGGCTTAGTTAACCCGTCAGCCGGCATACTAGTAGAAGGAATATAGGATATAGAGATATTTTCTTTTTCTACTTCTTGCCTAGTATAATAATAGTATATCGCCGTGTGTTTTGTTCGATTATGATATTCTGGGTTATAGGCTAGGTTTAGGGCTCCGTTATTATCGGTTTTGATTGGTATCGGCTTATAGTTAAAGCCTAGTTCAGATAGGAGACCTTGAAGCCAAATAGCCTCTCGTATAGCCTCTTGAATGCCGTTAAATTCAGCCTCAGTTGTAGAGAGGGCTATAGTTGATTGTTTCTTAGATTTCCAGCTAATAGGGCCACCGTTTAAAGTAAATAAGTAGCCGCTAGTTGATTTCCTAGTAGTAGGGCAATTAGCCCAGCTGGAATCCGTATAGCCTATTAATTCAGGCTGTTGAATATTCGATTTAGACTTATAGTTAATACTAAAGTCTTTTGTAGTTGAAAGGTACTGAATTATACCTATAACTGCCTTTAATAGCGGTTGAGTAGGATTATGAAGAAACCGGCTAATAAAGGAAACACTAAAGGCTAAATCAACCCTAGTCATATACATAGTGTAAATCAAAGAGCCAACTAGATGTTGATATAGTTTTAATAGCTCTTTAGAGGGTTGATAGTTAGGGTTATTCTGCCCTAAGTCTTGCTTTAGAATTCCGGGAGATATAGGGATATCTGAGCCTTTGAGGTGTTTAAAGTTGTTGTTTTCTAGGATTTGTTGAATATAGTGGCTTTGAGAGATTTGTAAAGACCCATTAGGTCTATCTCTAGTGATCTTGAGACCTAGAAAATAGCTGATTTCGCCTAGATCCTTAATTTCAACGAATTTAGAAACCAATAACTTAAGCTTCTTTATTTCGTTAAGATTCTTAGCGAATATAATAAAATCGTCGACGTGGGTTACTATGATAATAGGATTGTCCTTATTATTATTATAGTAGGTTGCCTCGTCGGATTTAAGAGGTTGTAGGCCTAGTTGTTTAAATATAGCCTTAACCTTAAGTTGCCACTGTCGAGGGCTCTGTTTTAGGCCGTATAGGGCTTTTTCTAGCTTTAGAACCTGATTACTAGTAGGATTATATCCTATAGTGTTTTGTTTAGGGTTCTGTTTAAAGAATTCAGCTAGAGGAATATTAGAGGGATCTAAATAGATATCTTCCTCTAATTCGCCGTTTAAAAAAGCTCCTATGATATCGATATGATGAATTTCCCAATCGTAATAGGCGGCAAGGGCAAATAAAACCCTATAAGTTGTAGGGTTAGACCCTATAGCGAAAGTCTGGAAATAATCGATTCCGTAACGTTGTTCAAAGCCTCTAGCCACAAGGCGGGCTTTATATTTATCGATTTTTCCATTAGGTAATAATTTCCGCTTAAATACCCATCTAGCCGTTATAGGCTGGGTTGAGGCTAACTTAGAATTTATAGCCTTAAAGGTGCCTTTAGAGATAAGTTGGGAAATCTCTTGATATATAGCTTTAAGCCATTTGTCTTTTTCAGGGCTTTTAAGAACCTGTTTAATAGTAGACGGTTCCTTAGTATAGTAACTAGAAAAGAGATAGTGAATAATATAGTTATTCTCTTTAATAGTTATATATTCCTCCTTGTTCTTAATAGAAGGAAGCCTGATTTCGATTTTGTTTTTAAAGTCTTTAGAGACTATAACGTCTTTAGAGACGTCTTTAGAGGGTATAACTTCTTTAGCTTCTTTAACGTCTCTAGAGACGTCTTTAGAAATACTAGAAGTAATGGATTTAGAGGAATCTTGAGCCTCTTGTTCCCCCTCTCTTATAGTATTTCGTATAAAACGAATATGAGTAGCCCTTATGATTCGTGATTTATAAGGCTTAGTAGGGCAGTATATAATATGAATATTCGTTGCCTCTGTATAGAGGTATATGCCCTCTTGAGTATAGGTATAAACCTTATTCGATTTGACTTGTTTTTCCTTAGGATAATATATATAGACCGAATCTCCTATGTTATATAAGGAAGATAAATCAGGTCGATTATCCTTATTAGGAAATATATAGTTGAAAAATGCCTCGTATGGTGTAATAGGGAGTCTTGAAGTAGCTGTATAGTTTAATAACTTAATAACAGCTTTAAAGACTTCATCCCATAGAAATAGAGGTAGTTTTAAAGCTAGTAATATAGTTCTAGCCTTTTCAACTATGATTCGATTTGCTCGTTCAGCTATACCGTTTTGTTCTGGCGTGTATGCAGTAGTAAGCTCTATAACTATCCCTTTAGGTTTAGTATAGGCTTCTAATTCGCTTATAGCGAATTCAGTACCATTATCAATTCGTAATGACTTAGGGTACTGGTTATACTGCGTATAATAATATTCTAGCTTATTTTGTATAAGAGATAAGATTTTATCCTTAGTAGGACTGAAATCTATATCTCTATAGCTAGTATAATCGTCAGTATATGGGATAGCGTAGATATTCCCAGCTATAGTAGAAGGCGTAATCTTAATCGTATCGATACATAGTCGATCGAGAGGTTTAGTAGCCCTGTTATAGTTAACTATAGACTGTTGTCTAGTTAACTTAGCTTTCTCACAGCTAGGGCACTGTAAATCGTCCTTTTTAAGCTGGTTGATAGGAATCCCCTTAGTTATCTTAGCTGTCTTATATAGGTAAGAGTAACTAGGATGTCCTAATTTGTTATGCCAATCCATAGTAGGATTAGTAGGGTTATTACCCTTAAGATTAGGGTTATTTTGACCCTTTAGACCCTTAGGGTTAGGGTTACCTTGTAATTCCTCAAAAGCCATATAGTTAGAGGCTTCAGAATCGGAAAGTTCATCGATTCTAGAGGATAAATCAACCTCGTTATAATTAGAGGTAGTAGACTTTTTAGTCTTATTAGTTGAGGAGGACTTATTCGTCTTCTTATTCCTCAAACTATGAATATCAGGTTCTAATTTCCCATATATAGATAGGAAAAATCCCCTTTTAGGGATATTTAAGGCAGCAAAGGCTTTGTGAGACGGGGTATATAAATAATTCCCGTTAATATAGCCTCCTGAGAGATAGTGCCTTAGACCTGAAATAATATTTATAGGGAAATCCGGTATATATAAGGCTTGTTCAAGCCTAATAGTTGACCTTTGACCTTTAAAGTAGAGCGGTAGGTCTATAGTACCTTGGCCCTTAGGTTTTATAGGTCCAGCGCCTGTTTTGACTTCTGGGAGGTTGTCCTTAGAAGTATAGGCTGTAAAGAATTCTCTACTGTTAGCTATGTGAACAGTAGAACCGGAATCATACAGCCACCAGTTCTTAGGACTAGAACTAGAACTAGGGCTATTAGGCCTCTTATTAAAGTAACTAGCATCAATCCCACTATAATATTCTAAATTATAGAAAGAGTAGGAGTTGCTAGGAGGCTGTTGGTTTTCCCTTTTATTATTGCCTTTAGAGGCATTAGGTCTATAGTTAGACCTCTTAGTCTTTTTAGACCGTTGTTGAGACTGTTGCCTATGGATATAGGAATTAGACATAGGGGTGTCCTCATCACGCCTATTTTCATCTAATATATCCGTAATAAGGGCTTCTAAAGTAGGTATCTCTTTAGAACGTAAGGCAGCCCTTTGCCTTTCAGCCCAAATAGGAAATGATTTTGATAAGGCAGCTATAAAGACCGTATTTTGGTCTATAGTCTCGATTTTTGCTCCTACAGAGGCTAATTTAGATAAATAAGCCTTAAAAGAGCTAATAAATAGATTTAAAGAGCTATAATCCTCGAATTTAATAGCGTGGAATTCGAGATATAGCTGTTGCCTTAGAACCGGCCCGGAACCTTCATAGGTATCCTTTAGTAACTTTAGGGCTTCTGCTGGGTCTTTATTATTAAAAACCAGGCTAAGAGGTTCTGGCTGTAAATTTTGCCTTATAACTAGTAAGGCTTGTGATTTTTGCTCTTCGGTTATAGCTGAATATTTCTCTTGATCCTCAAAGTATTGGGATAAATTCAGCAATTTAAAATAGATTTGAAGGGTAGTAATCCAGGTATTCCAGTTATCTATACCCTTTAATCGTTGATTTTCAGGCATTAAACAGCCTGTAACGGCTCTTATAGCAGTAGTAGTAGTCGTAGTAGTCGAAGACATATTGACTTTTAATAGGGTGCTTATTGCCCTTAAATATAGGGACTTATAGCCCTTGGGTACTTATTGCCCTTGAGATAGGGGACTTATAGCCCAAAAACTGCTTATAATATAGGGAATTTATCCCTTAATAGGCTGCTGAAGATACTAAGGAGCTATGCCTTGAGTAAATAACAGGTATTTTGCCTTGTTATTAAGTGCTAAGCCCTAGGATATGCCTTTATAATAGGGTATATAAGCACTAAAAGCAGCAAGTAATATCTTAGAATAATAGTTTCTAAGACGTAATCCCCTTAATAGTCTCGTATTTAGTAGTACTAAGGACTTACACTTCGTCTGCCTTAATAGTACTAGAATAGAGTTAAAGTTTTAGACTTTTCGTCTTAGGGGAATATAGCCGTTATAATAATAACCGTTATAATAATATACGGTTTAAAAGAATAATAAATATAAATTCCTAAAACTTATATCGTTTATAGGAATAAAATAGAGTTTAAGATATTTAATAACCGAAGAGTTGAGGATAAAAGAATAAGTAAAGTTATTACTCTGCTGGGCTCATAACCTGTTGGAACGGTAGGTAGGAATCTCGTAGATAGTACGATATCCTTATAACAGGGTATTAGAGTAAGGGAACTTGTACTTATGAAGTAGGGCTTTAATAGTAAAGAATGTATAGGCTTATATTGAAGCTGAGTTGGTTGAGGAACTAATAGCTAGCTAAGGGAGAGAATTAGGCTAGTTATATAGTAGTATAACGTCGCCTATAATAGCTAATATAGGAAGCTATAAGCTAGGTTTAGTATACGTAAGTATATACGTCAACTAGCTTATAAAGCAGCTTATAAATCAGACTAGAATCTTCTTTAACTAAATAGACTTTTAGATAAGGTTAAAGAGAGTATTCCATAGGGATCTGAATATCATATGTTTAAACTAGCAAGCAGCCATTCTTAGCTAGTTACTTTTGTAAGTCCTACTAAGTCTTAGATAAGACTAAATAGGATAAATAAGTAAAATAGAAGTATAATATACTTATACTTCTAACAAATTATCCTAGCTAACGATACTTCCTCTAATAGTAATAACGGAGAATTTACGATTTATAGTAACCTTGTTTATTATAGCTTTACGAAGAGTAAATAAGTTACTTATAGCGTATTAGCGTTAGAGATCTACGGGATAGTCGCTAGCGTCGATATAGCCTATGCCTTCGCTATAACCCTAGCGATAATTACTAACTACCTTAACCTACTAACGATTTAGATAGTTATCTATACCGATTCTTATTCGCTATACAAGTATCTCGTAAAGCTAGGCACTACTAAAGAAAAGCGACTTATGATCGATATTATAGCGTTAAGACAATCGTACGAAAGACGAGAACTATAAGAAATTCGTTAGATTAATGGCGAAGACAACCTTGCTAATACCTTTACGAAGAGTAAACTAAATCAAGCCTTCGAGAGATTCGTTAATAGCAATACGATAACGATACGTATAAAGGGATAGGTAATAAGACCGTAACTACGGGAGAAAGTAGGGATAGGAGGCTAAATTGACGAGGAGACGGAACTATATAGGGATAACGTATTCCAACCGCTTCAACACCATAAAAAGAGAGTTTCCAGTGTTGCGATAGTTGGAATACGGAGTCGTATGGCACTTCCAGCCACACGCCCGCCAGGCTGAGAGGCCCAAGCCTCCCAGACCCACGTGACAGGCCAAGGGGGAATATCCCCACCTTCTAGTCAACAACACCACTTTCAACTATCATGAACCATCGATTAGAACCAATTTACTGTTATTTGTTATTGACGAACGGAATTCCGTTTCACCCCCTGTGAAACCTACACTTTCACTCAAACCCTCTGAAACTGGCTCATTCGGAAGACACTAATCGTCAATTAGCACAGAGGCGGATGAATATACAGGAATTTAAGTTACCTTGAAAGAGGACAGAGACTCGTCATCTACTCGAGTGATTTAGCATTCCATATTTACAAGCAATAACGTAATCAACTGACCTTGGAGTAATTCAAGCAAGATGAGAGCTCCTGTGGGGCGGAGTAAGTCTTTGAGAAGACCAAAGGCATTGTAAATCCTTTCCGAGAGGCGAAAGGTCTGGGGTAATTAGTGATAAACTCCATGAAAAGTAAATAAAAGCATCACTCACATCGTTGCTAATAATAAGATCGTACGACCCAAGCTCTAACTCAAGAGAGTAACCACTGTCCACGGGATCCAGCGTTCCAAACTCAATACCATCTATGTCTGCGAGAGCCTCTTTAGCCTGCTGGCAAGTCTCGGGTGACAATGATAAATAAGTGTATTTGGAAAATAGTTGCTGTCCTTTGCCAGGCCGGAGGAGGGCCAGAAGGCGCCGAGTAACTGTATCAGCCCCGGTTCCCATCTCCAAGACTCTTATCTGTGGGTTTGTGTGCGTGAAAATACTCAATGCGTGCGACAAGATGTCAGCAGTACTTGTTTGCGTTAGGCCCGATGAGGTAAAATCTTCTCGAATCTTATTCTTAGATAGCGTATGGAAAGGATATAAACTCGAGTGGTACCACCAGTAAGCAGAGCCGAGGAGAGGCAGTTCATCAGTAGAGGCCTGTGTCGCAACCTGGCTGCCTTCAACACCGATCATACTCATAATCTTGTTACGACCCGACAGTTAACAGACCACTGACGACGACCCCGCAGGGGCTCAGCGGTTATAGGGACGGCCGTCAGCCGTTACGTCGTAACAACCCCCACGGAACGGAAGAACTAGGATACAGGTCACGTGACGATAAGCAGGACCGACGGACGATAAGCGGTCCTGGGACAGGACCGACGGAAAACATCAACAACAGCGAGAACGAAATTTTTGAAAACAGCATCAAATTGATCAAACCACGCCCGCTCGCGCTCTCAGAGGTCACTTTGGGCATAATGTCATCCTCGGCATTGATTCTGCTCCCAAAGAGCCTGCTCGTGGCCGCGGGCGGGCTCTGACCACGAAAAATTCGAGAGCAAGCCACAAAGTATGACACGTCAATAGACAACACCATCGACACCACCGCGGTTGAGTCACGGGCTATCACGTGAGCACAACGACCAAGCCCAAACAAACATCAACACCACAGCCACCGATAGGTTATGGGTCGCCTATCACCCCCGACAAAGTTTGCAACGTCCCGCGACAACAACGACGACAAGCCCGACAGAACGGTATCACCTCCTGCATAGAGAAAGCACCAGACACCAGGCATGCTACGATCGATGCCACAAAATACTACAGTTTGCAGACAGATTGGTCCCCTGTCGCCCCCTCCGCGAAGAAGGATTGTCGCCCCTTCAACGTATGACAATGTCTGCGGAATCTGTGTACGAGCTCTCATACTTAGTAATCGGACGAATCGAAGCGGTTGGAGCATTGTGTTTTGCGGATTGAGTCCGACTCCAGGCGGTGGATGGAGGTGGTGGTCGAAAGATGGAAACATAGAGCCACATAGGAACCCAGCATGAGGCAACAAAAAGATTTACAGATTCAACTGAGATATAGCACATGCGAGTCTGAGAGGATGCGGACAAGATAAAGAGACGAAGCTGAGGGCTGGGGGGAGACTATAGGTATACAGAACCAGACATGGTGCCTAGCACCAACAGAACCGAAGTAGGAGGACGCGAAAGAAGGATTCTAGAAGGCAACACCAAGCGAGAGAGCAGGCAGGAGGACAACAATCTTCAACAGAGGGCATAAACACACAAGAATAGATAGCATAGTGGGAGCTTGGGGACAGCTGGTCCTGATCCAACAACAGGGCGAAGTGGGGCGTCGCGGTTTATCGTCGATGCTTCGGCTGTCTGCCAAACCCCGCTTTCCGGGCATAGCTGCTAGCATAAGAGCGGCTTCATAACCGTGTAGGAATCAATCAATCAATCAATCAATCAATCAACAGGACCGACGGTGCCAAGGGCGGTCCATGGCGATGGACCGACGTCCTGGGTGTCGGTCCCCCAGGATCAGGAAGTGTTCAGCATGGAACCAGACTTGTATATAGTTGGGACTCGAGTCCTCTCGAGTCCTACCTTTCCTAGTTCTTCAGCAATCAACTTTGTAATTACCCTAACCGGTACTTTCAGCTATACCTAAGTGACGACTACTCTACGACTCTTGTTGAGGCCTTGACTGATCACCAAGACCTTTGAAGATCTACGATCTATTCGACCAGGACCACGGAACGACTGTTACTACTCTCAATCCCTGGCTTACTGTTAACACAAACCCACTGTCAGTTAGCTAGCCGTAACACTTTGATTGCTCCTGTTTAGTAAGTCACCTTTTGAGAACTACTAAACAGTATAGACAAGATGTCTTCTCGCGCTTCTGCCAAATCACCTACTCCAGGATCCTCATCCTCTTCGCGCAACCAGCCTCAGAGCCTCGCGCAGGAGCCCGCCAACACTGAGGACTTCGACATGCCGGACCTCAAGTACGACTCCGATAGAGATGGCTCTTTCACCAAGGAAAGCTACGATAAGCTCCGACGCATAATCCAGAAACAAGAAGCCGAGACAAAAGACATGCAGAAAATCGTCAACGAAAACCGACAAGCAATGGAAAACCTTAACGAGCAACTCCAGCACGCTGGACAGGCCTACAAGAAGCTGGAAGAAGACATCAAGGGGGACGCCAACCTCCGGAAGATCCAGGAACTCCAGGGGGAAATCACCACCCTCCGGGCCGCCGCCAACATCGTCACCACGCCCGTCCACGGAGGACGACAAAAGCTCAAGCTCAGTGCGCCTGTCACCTACGACGGAACCCCCGGGACCCTTAAAGGATTCCTGATTCAGGTCAAAAACTACTAGAACTTTCACCACGGAGATTTTACCAACGAGACCGAAAAAGTAGTACACGCAGCCACCTACCTCCGAGGAAAGGCCCTCAAGTAGTTTAAACTAATCCAGGAAGAGTACCTAAAATGCGAGACCCTCGACGAGTGCACTACCGAGACCCGCGACATCTACGCCAATTTTAAAGGATTCGAGGATGCGCTCAGGTCACTCTTCCAAGACCCCGACGAAAAGCGATAAGCCGAACGAGATCTAGCACAACTTAAGCAGACTAAGTCCGCTAAAGACTACTCCGCCAATTTCCGACAACTTAGCGTTCAACTCGACCTTACCGAGGAAACCAAGATCTTCATGTTCTATCAAGGACTAAAAGACGAAGTCAAGGACGAGATCATCAAGATTGATCGACCTGACGACTTTCTCCAGTACGCCGAACTCGCTATCAAAATCGACAACCGGCTTTTCGAACGACGAAAGGAAAGAGGCGAAAAACGACAAAACCCTAACTTAGGACGCAAGTACCAGTAGCAGCCTCAGCACTAGTTCAACAACCAGCGAAACGACAATAGACCCCGCAACAACTAGAACAACCCCCGACAAAGTACTGCCTATGGTTACCATAGTAGACTAATGGACCTTAGTGCTATATAGAGAAACGACAAAAAGAACGATAGTTGGAAGAAAGATAGACAGTGCTATAACTGCCAGAAGATTAGACACCTAGCATACGAATGCAGGTCACCCAAGAAGGAACGCTTCCAACCGGTACCAGAGAAACGACAAGCAAGTATCGCCACGAAGACGATCCCTCATAAACAACTCAACTAGACCACCTGCTTCGATAACAACTGCCATATCCACTCTAGCAGTAAGGAACACGCAGGATAGTACCCCCAGAAACCTCAAGAACGATCTGGTTACGACACCACCAACGCACCTAAACGGACCCTCGCTGTGGGATATAGAAGCAACAGCAAAATCGAGCGCAAGACAATCGAACAGCTCGACAGTATGAACGACAACGAGGAATTAGAACAAGACAATCAGCGAAGACTGAACCTCCTCTACGCAGGACGACAAGCCAACCTGCAGCGGATTCAACAGGACTCACAAAACCCTATGTAGCAACGACAACTCGGTGCGCTGGACGCACACATCGAACGACGACAACATGCACAAGGAGATCCCGCACGGATCCGCCAGATCAACCAAGAACTAGAAGAACAGGTCGAATCAGAAACGACCAAGAACACCCCTAACGACTCGGAAACACCTCGCGATGTTGCCCGTCAACATGCCCAACTGGAAGTCGCCTTTGAAGTCGCTTCAGTCAACGACACCAGCTCTGGAGAGGACTCTGACGAAGAAATACAGTGGTATCACTGCTACCAAGACCAGTGCCGAGTCCACTATATCAAGAAAGACGAAGCATGGAAGAAACAGCAAGAAAACGACGAACAAGGAACGGACGAGCAGTCAAAAAACTAGACTCGCCTACCGAAGACAAGGGACAACGACAGGCAGTCCAGACAAGGTCCCTATGTAGCGCAACGACGCCCACGACACAACGACACGAGCATGTACAAGTCCAAATACAGCTCAACGGAAGAACAGCTACCGCCATGATCGACAGCGGAGCCCAAGGAAACTTCATATTACCAAGAACGGTGAATGAAAGAAAGATAACCTAGAAAAGAAAAGCAGCCGAAGACTGCTACGAACTCAGCACCGTTGAAGGAGAACAAGTCCAGTACGGCGGAGGACGCATTGTTATGGAGACAGCGCAACTCCTAATGCAGATCCATAGCCAGAATGAGCGACTCAACTTCGATATTACGGAGATAGGAGACAAGTACGATGTCATCCTTAGAAGACCATGGTTATACGACAGTAACCCACGGATAGATTGGAGAACAGGCCAACTCCATTGGGACCAGGATTCAGTCACTGAGAAGCAACCACGGAACGGTGCCTCAAACGAACCTCTCAAGACTCCTGAAGCGAAGAGATTTCTAGCATACCTACGGATCAAGGATGCAAACGCCAGGACGTTATCAGCAACAGACATCGGCAAGGAAGACCGACTTCTGTCTATCCCAGAAGAATACCGGCAATACCAGAAGCTATTCGCCGAAGAACTCGAGACCGGACTCCCGGAACACAGCAACTACGACCACGAGATACCCCTTAAGGAAGGGAAGGAGCCAAAGCTAGAAGCAATCTACGGACTCAACCAGAAAGAAATGGAAGCACTCGACGCTTACCTCAAAGAAAATCTACAAAAGGGATACATCAGACCCTCTACATCACCAGCGGGATACCCAATCCTGTTCGTACCAAAAAAGAACAGCAAACTACGACTCTGCGTCGACTACCGGAAACTCAACGACATTACGATCAAGAACTGCTACCCACTACCGCTTATCTCCGAACTACGAGACCTGTTGCACGGAGCACAGTAGTTTACAGCACTCGACCTAAAAGGAGCCTATAACCTGATCCGGATGAAATCAGGTGAAGAATGGAAGATAGCGTTTCGAACACGCCGAGGACATTACGAGTACCTTGTGATGCCCTTCGGACTCACCAACGCACCCGCGACATTCCAGACGATGATCAACCACGTCTTACGAGAATTTCTAGATGTGTTCGTCGTAGTTTACCTCGACAACATCCTAATCTTCTCCAAGACTCTAGAAGACCACAAAAAGCACGTATATCAAGTGCTACGGAAACTACAAGACGCCAAACTCCTAGTGGAACCAGAAAAAAGCAAATTCCACACCCAAGAAGTCGAATTCCTAGGCTTTA